TTTCTGGTTGAAATTTTTTTGAATGTTTTGTTTGCTAGAAAAAAAATAGTATTTAGGAGTTTTTCGAAGTGCGAGAAACGAATATTAACTTTATGTTTCCCTATAAAATGTTTTATTTTTTTTAACAAATAAAAAAAAACCTATTCATTTAAAAAAACTTTAGATACCAGCCCGATTTAGAAACAATATATTTATCAGATAGCTATAAACTTTTTACTGTCAGGAGAAATTATATTAAATCCTTTTTTTTTTTTTTTGTTATTTATAAAATTTAATATTTAAGGGTTTATCGTAGTTCGAAAAACGAATATCAACTTGGTTTCTCCCTATAAAATATTTTTTTTTTTAACAAATAACAAATACCTATTCATTTATTGAAATTAAGTATTTCTCGCATGGCTTTAAAACGTTTCCTTATCACTATTATTATTTTTTTTTTTTTTACATTAAATTTGATCAGCCTCATATCCCTGCAACCTTATAGTAAGACAATCATAATTTCCCATCAATTATTTACAAATAGACTTTCAGAATGGTACAAATTCTTGATTTTCATTTCGTGAACACCTCCAAAGAGAGAGAACGATTTTAAAGAGATCTTTATAATCTCTTAGGTTTAAAGATCTCTTTTTTAAGAACGGTAATTGATTCGCCGCAATCCTTTTACCCATTATAAACTAAATCCTTTAGCAGCTCGCTCCAGCCCGAGGCAGGGGCAGTTTTCTCCGGCATAGGGGATTCGCTTTCCCATTTCCCAAGCACTTCTAGTTTTTCTACAGTTTCCACCCTCTGGTATTTCACTTTCTTTACCCTTATCATCCTCCTTTGGTTGCGCAGTCACCTTCAGTCGATTCTTGTCAGCCATCCGCACTTTCTTTTTTTTCTCTCGATTTATTTTGAAAATAACTTGTTTATGGGGGAGTACTTAATTGTCATTTCTTAGTTTGTTTATTATTCTACTTATCTCAAAATAAAGCAAATCAGATCGATATTACACACATTCATTCTTCAGCTATTTTTCAATCAAATATATCTCAATGCTTGAAAATAATTTTTCTATTTTCTCTCTTGAATAGTTTTTATCCTCTATGAAGGAGTAATTATTTAAATTGAATTTTCTATTATTGTTCAGAGATTTGATGATGAATCCAGCTTCTTATTTTGAAAAAGATATCTTAATACTTGGAGAATAGTTTTTTCAAACGTTTCGGTTTCGAATAACTTTTTTTTTTTTTGTCCTCCCCTTCTTCGCCTTTAAGGGTATACGGCAGTTTCCCGGACCATTGGGTGGGGGCGGTAGATTAATGCCAGAGCTTTAAGTCCCTCTTGGCAGCGGAACGCGAACTCTGGTATTATTTGATCGTGTGATAATTATCTTCTGTCCAGGTTGCCAGGCAACGCGTTAGCCTGCTCGGCCACCCAGCCTCTCTCGGTTTTGAATTATGGTTGACTTGAGGTACTGCTTATCGATTATTTAAAAATATATATATTTTAGTATATTAGAATTAGTTTTAACTCTCCACCCGCTCATAGAATGTATGCAGTTATGCATCATATACTTTAACAAATGGTGTCAAAACTAGAAGATGAATATAAATACTGACAACTCTTTTAAAATCACTTCTACTTTTCGACCCAAACACATCATTTAACTTCAGTTCCCTCTAATATTTGACTGGATCAACATTTATTTGACTAACAGTCTTCCAGTATTTTGCAACTGACTTATTTATATTATAAGGCTAAATTCGCCGCTCGAACTTTTTGACTCCAGTAAACGATAAAATTCCTCCCCTTATCAATCTATATCCTTACTACCTAAATCCTCAAAATTAATGTTGCTGTTCACTCTCCCTTGCTCCCTTTTAATTATTTTATTAAGAGTACCCACTCTATAGGATGGGTGTGCCTCAGGAGGGTCTCCCTGCCCTAGGATCGATCCAAGGCTTATGAAAAATTACTTGACATCGGCCGGGTTCGAACCCGTAGGTTTATTGGCTTAGCAGCCCAGTGCCCAACTCACCTTGTTGAAATAGCGTTGTAAATATCAATAAATTAGGTTTAAAAATAAGTAGGAAACCCTTTACAATCTTTTTTGTGTTTAAATGTCTAGGATTATTTCCTAATCTGATCTGTGTTGGCATTTACAAGCAAACGTTTTCTTTGACTCCTTAATCGGTTGATTCATACCATAGGCTCCAGTTTGTTCTGTTTCCATTCGCCATAAAGGTCATGTTAAAATGCTGAGACACCAGCAATGGGGAGCCAGATCCACAAATTCCCGAGGCCGAACATTGCTATCTGCACTTAATTCCCATCGCAGCAACATCATTTCACCTAATACACCCACATACTGGCCAACAGATCCCAACCGCAATCCCGACCTTCTAGACTTTTTCCTCCACAAAGGTCTAGGATCACTACACTGTTCTATTTCAAGGTTTGATGATCTTTCCTCAGACCATAGTCCTCTAGTCCTAACCGTTTCCACATCTCCCATTCCCAAATCATCCCCACCTTCATTTATCAGGGGGCCAGTTAACTGGAACCTTTTCCGTCAAATACTGGAAGATAATATTGACCTCAGAGTTTCCTTAAAAACACCTGAAGACCTCGACGATGCAGTGCATTCCTTCACTACCCTGATCCAGCAAGCAGCTTGGACTGCATCCTCACCTGATCGTCCCAAAAAATACCATAACATAAATCCTTTACCTCAAGATCTATTGGACCTAATCCATAGTAAACGTTGCTCTAGGACCCTTTGGCAAAGAACTAGGCATCCTGATGACCGGAAATTGTATAATTATTATTCCAAACAGGTAAAAAAGAAACTGGAAACTTTTAAAACCCAATCCTACAATTCCTACCTCTCCTCATTATCCGCTAGTGACAACTCCCTCTGGAACGTAACCAAAAAAATCCTTAAATTCCAGTCCATTTCCCATCCACTTCGCCGTGATGATGGTTCCTGGGCTTCGTCAGATGCGAATAGAGCAGAGGAGTTTGCTAAACATTTATCCTACACATTCACCCCTCACCCCGAACTCCATCCCAGCCACACTGCTGAAGTTGAAGAATTCCTCTCTTCACCAATTCCTCTCTCTCTACCTCCAAAACCTGTAAACCCCTCTGAGGTCAAATTCCTTATAAACAAATTAAAACCCCGAAAATCCCCTGGATATGATCTCCTCACTTCACAAATCCTCAGACAACTTCCCAAAAAAGCAATCATATTCCTTACCTATCTATACAACTGCATCCTTCGCACAACCAACTTTCCTTTGGTGTGGAAACATTCCATAATCATCCTGTTTCCAAAACCAGGTAAACCTGTTAATAACACATCATCCTATAGACCGATAAGCTTACTCCCGATCCTCTCAAAAATCTTTGAGAAAATCCTTCTCAAACGCATCCTACCCATAATCGAATCCCACAACATCCCTTCTCATCAGTTTGGATTCCGCTCAAGACATTCCACTGTCCAACAAGGCCTTCGTGTTGTGGACCATATATCCTCTGCACTTGAAAACAAGCATTATTGCACTGGTGCCTTTCTGGACGTAGCACCAGCTTTCGACCGGGTGTGGCACGATGGCTTGCTTTTCAAGCTCAAAACCCATTTACCCCAATCCTTATACCTAGTCCTCAAATCCTACCTCTCAAATCGTTCCTTTCAAGTCCGTTGTGACACCGCATTCTCCACTTACTATCCGGTTGAGGCTGGTGTTCCACAAGGCAGTGTCTTGGGCCCAGTTCTCTATATCCTCTTCACTTCCGATATCCCTTCCAATCCCGATACATTTCTAGCTACATTTGCTGATGATACTGCCATTCTATCTTCCCACTCAGATCCTCAAATAGCATCTCTAAACCTACAATCTCACCTCTCTTTGATTGAGCAGAGGTGCAACAACTGGCGCATCAAAATCAATGAATCAAAATGCAAACATATCACTTTTACCCTGCGACGCAGATCCTGTCCGTCAATCCTTTTTAATTCAATTCCACTTCCCTACTCAGACACAGTCCGTTACCTTGGCTTCCTTCTTGACAAAAGACTAACTTGGAACCCACATACCAGACTTAAAAGACAAGAACTTAACCGACGATATGGCCAGCTGTATAGATTACTAAGTAGGACATCCCATCTTTCGATTGAAAATAAACTTTTAATCTACAAGACCATACTGAAACCTATCTGGACCTACGGACTTGAACTGTGGGGAACTGCTAAACATTCGAATATCAAACGCATCCAATCCTTCCAGTCCAAAGTACTTAGAACAATAGTCAATGCCCCATATTATGTCACAAACAAGACCCTACACCATGACCTTAACATCCCATTTGTCCTCGACATCATCCCAACCAGATTCTCAAACTTTCACCAAAACCTTATCCATCATCCAAATCCTCTAGCTCAATCCCTATCCAGCTCCCTTCATCCCTACAATCCTCCACGAAGGTTAAAACGGCAGTGGCCCAGAGATCTCTTGTAAATATGCTTCTGGAGTCCTGGCAATGGCCAGCTTCTCCACTCATGTCCCGAGCGTCTGTGGCTCTAGTGCCCTCTTTCAGTCTCCATTGGCTTCTAATACCAGTGATGCGGCTGGAAAAGTGGCACTGGAATCTCCTGGAGTCTTGCTTTGCCTTCCACATGTGGGGGAAAAAGCCTGGCTCGGAGATTCTTGGGCGAATGTATATATTGTATATAGGTATGATTGTGTTTATAAGTTTCTTTTTATGTTATTGTTTATTTTTTTTTTCTTTTATTTTCTTTCTTCATCAGTATTATTTATTTACTTTTTATATTTATATTTATTTCTCTATTATTTGTATATATTGTTTGAATGAGAACTCTTAGCCCTAATACTTATAGCCCTCCAGTGGCTGATTGTATTATTATTCAATAAATAGATAAAAAAAAAAAAATGCTGAGTGCATCCCGAGGCCGCTTCGACCCATATCTACCTGTCGACTATGTATACAAGACGATGGACATTTCCTTTCTGGTCCTCGAGCTGACGGCTACCGTTTGATGGAAAGTCGTGAAGCATCTGTCGGCGGGACAGTTAGAGGTTTCTCTCCATCTCAACAACAGCTCTTGTCTTGATGGTTTGAGGTCAATCATTGTAAATACAAATCGGACACCAATACTTAATTAATTACAACTTACTGGTTTGTATCTCGGTTTCCAGTTTTGGCGTATTTTTAATATATACGATTTTTATTTATTATTTTTAATATATATGAGGTGATTCAGTTCGTAATGACCAAACTCTGAGGGGCGATTCTAAACAAAATTTTCTTTAAAAAAGATCATTTGATTCATAGTCCGATTCCGTACGGGGAAGAGGTTATGTCTAAGTGTGTGTGCTTTTTTAAGGTCGTCACGTTTTCTCTTTCATATGAAGCGATAATCCAAAAAAATATTTAATTTAGGTAATTAGTAATTGCGTCGTAGTAAACTAGACAAAATCTTCTTTAAACCTAAGAAAAGTTTATTTTTTCAAAACCATTTAAAAGGGAATTATGAGTGGCTAAACTACGCTATGTAGTGTATTTTCTTTTAAATCACGAATTATTCGCGATTTTCTTTTATCATTCTACAAATACTCCACTTTTATAAAAAAAATTATTGTTTAATAAGCTTTGCATATTGATTTAGTTCAGGTTTGCTGCTGCATACAGTTGAAATTCACCTCTGGTTAATAAACCTCTGCGAATAAATTTATCCATCATGAAAAATGTTTTGCAAGATTGCCTTGTTTTCAGCAATTGAACTAAAATAGAGATGGACAATTTGGCTGATTCACTAAGAATGGTTTATTTGACAAACAAAGATATGAAAAAATCGTATTTTATTGAATGAGATTGAAAGCTCTTTTTATTGAATTATGATCTCTATCCCTATTTAGTTAATCATTTGCATGTACCATCAGTCTTTTAATTCATTGGATCCATAATTTATCGTTAGCAAGTATTAATAATATAGAAAAGCTCCTTTCTGTAAGTCATAAACGTTGCCCTGATTTTAATATGATTGCATATTTTGTTTTCATGCAGTTCTTAAACTGCAGATAAAATATCTTTACGAATCAATGTACCAAAATGCGATTAGTCAAATTTTACATAGCAAATTTTTGCATATTTTATGATAAATGCATATCTTAGCATAATTTGATTATTCTAAATATCAAGAAAAATATAAGTAATCCAGTAAATTAAAGATGATATTTTATACCATAATCATTGGTTCATTATATTCAAATTGTTTTTGAACTTTTACTACCTCACACCTTGAAATACCTCACTCAGTTTCTTACTAGCTGTAATATTTATTATTGGTATCATTTTCTTCAAAATAGAAATAATGTTATAGTATATTTGGAGATTTGTTGTTATATATTTTAAGTTTTATTACTGCATATTTGACTTGTTTTATTACATATTATATGGGATAGTGCGGGAGATTTATTTTACTCCATAAAAATCCGGGCTCTGATTATAAACATGGTAATTATAGGACCTCATCATTTTTTTTAGATTAATAATAAATATAATAAATGAATTAATATTTAGTTTATTCGATACTTCAAAACAAAAAAGAATTTTTTGGATTGCTACCATTTTTTATATCGCTTCTGTTAGTAGTGCAAATGGTTGTATGTAAAAATTATTTGTTTTACAGGAGAGCAGAAAAACTGATTATTCTTCAGTCTGCAACTGTTGTGAGTAGTCTGTTGCTATACAAATAATCAGTTATACTCTGCTGAAAAACAAAAAAACACTCAATTTTTACATACGACGTTTTGCTGCACTGTAACAGTAGCGATATATTAAAAGTTTTGCTATGTCTCTTAACAAGATATCCGGATGTAGATTTATTGTGATAGTTGTAAACATTTGCTTTCTTATTGTAAACTTGTTCGCTTTCTCGTACAGTTAGAGAAAGCCCCGGAATCTAAGAGGTGTTAGTATTTCATATCCGGAGCTGGGCCGTGTAATCTTCACGAACAATGTCCTGGAGTAGGGGATGCTCTTAGTATCTAGTCGTGTCCCTTTGTAGGTGATAACCGGGAGTTTGTTCCTTCCAAGTTTCTTTGTGTCTCCATTTTTAAGGTTAGTACCCAAAGCATTGGTAGATCGCGTTCCGTGTGTTACAAAATTGCTTCAACACTAATCTGGATTAGAATTCATTCACACTCAATGCTTGACCGTAGTATAATATTGAGGAAAGAGATAGTCCGGAATGGCCATCATAAAAAAACTTAAAATAGTGAAAAACTATTTTATTTTAAGCCAACGTTTCGACGTAATGAGAGCCAACGCTTCGAATGACTTGACACTTCCTGAAACTAGCGTGTTTTAGTAAAACTATCTTATAAATTTTTCAAAAGTAGTTATAATATGAACCGGTTCAAGTAATGTGGAAGCAATAGGCGGCCTCTTTGCTTGCTCCTGTTGAGCGGTAAACATTTCGGCCTCTCCCCCTTCTCCATCTCTAAAACAGTTCAAACATAAAGGACTTCAATTTAACATTTTGTATTTACATGTATACATATTATAAAACAGTCTTCGAACAGTTCATTGTTGGACGAAGGAAGCAACAATGCGCGAACTCAAATTATATGAATTATGAAATTTTCTACTAGTGTGATACCGCCTCTAAATTTGGACAGAAATTTTTGTTGGTGTCTGGCGTGTGTCTTATTTTATTTGTCCAAGGAAAAAATCGTCTTTATAAAATAAAATATTTCATAAACTAAAATAACTGAATTTTGTCTCCTGATATTAGTTTTCCCCCTTCCCACAGTTTCGGCAGATGTTTTTGACTTATGCGAGCTATGTAGTTTTATACGTGCTGGAAATAAACCATCAGCAAACAGCGCACTACAGGACGAAAACGATCTGAATTTTTAATTTAATATCAGCACTATGCCTAATTTTTTTTTTCTTTATTTAGATATATTACAATCTGTCCCATCTTAGGACATTAGTAATAGTGATAAAAGAGTAGCTCATTCACGCTATGTACAATAAATAAACAGCAAACTAATAATACTAAAAGTAAATGTATATAAACTAAACTAAACAAAAAGAAACTGAACTATTCCAAATAACTACTTAAATACACACATACTTTTATACAATATTAACAGAATTCATTCACTCAAGATCTCCAAGCCAAGGCTCGTGGAAGGAAAGGCAGGACTCTAGAAGATCCCAGTGCCTCTCACTCAGCCGCATTACTGGCATTAAGGACCAGCAGTTTCTCATTTGCTTGAAATAATTAATCTTCCAATAATGGACTTTTTGCCTTTTTGGTCCCCTGGTTTGATGGATGCCATTCTGTAAAACCTCGCTTTAAGTGGGTAATCCAGTGCAAATTGAATCCTCAGGATTAACATAATAAGGCATAGAGTATGTGACTAAGACATTACTTCTTATTCCCGTATGTTCCTCAGTTGGTCATGGCATTTAGATGGTTGGTTCAGTTTATAAAAAAAAATCCAGTCTAGTGGGAGGTGGGAGGTTCGGCGCTATGTTCAGGTTCAAATCTGGCGTGGAGCTGGTGATACATATTGCTCCATAATTAGTCTGAATGCATCTGAGGCTCCAACTCTAAGCGCAGATGAAATAGAATGTTTTGAATTCCATGTAACAGCATGTTAAATTTTTTTTTCTCAAAAAAATATTTAATTTAGAAAATGAATGTTAAATACCAACATAGGTGTTACTCTTCTTAATATATTCCATTATTTTTTACACATCTTATTGCTGCCTGATAGATTAGGTAAATATATTTATATTTATGGTTGGTAGTTGTTTTATTATTTTGAATTTTTTTAGTTTCTTAGGTAATACCAGATATACTCAAATTAACTCAATAATAAAGTCAAATAAAAGGCAACAATGAAGTAAAGAATGTATATAACATTTTTAATTATATTTAAAAACATGTTGATAATACTCACAGTTAAGGGTGTCGACAAAATATTGGAGTGGATGGAACGAGTGGTTCGTTGTAACATGATAAGTGTTCAATATATGGGAGATAAAAGGAGAATAGAATGTCATACTTAAAAGATTAGCTCAGTAATCAGTTTGTTACCTATTATATTATTATTATTTATGTAATTAGTTGAACTTTTTGAAGGTTATTTTTAAGTAAATGATAAAATATTGGGGGAGTGGGGAAGAAAGTGCCTTGCCTCTCTTTCCCCCTCCCTTTCCGCTGCTAGTGCCTTCTCTTTCTTGAATGGTAGTACTTTTTGTTCTTCCATTATTTTTCAGATAGTTTCAAGTCCCCTACTGGGTGTAATGATGTCTGGTCTGGGATGAGGTCATTGCTGGATATTGCTACCGAATATTTGCAGCGTTATTCCTGACATAATTCTTGGTATTTCCTGAAGTTTTCATGAATCATTATGGATAGTTAGGAATGGATACGAAAATTTGAAAATTAATAGAATTAAGTTGAATATATGTATATGGGTGTATGTATTAAAAATGGCATTTATTAAGTGATAAATATAAATAGCAACAGTAAAATATAAAAAACAGTTGCAACCTCGATTAGCACTGTATAATTTTACGAAGCCCTCTAATGATAATAAGGTTCTCCACCTCTATGTGCTGTACTCTATGTGCTGCAGTTAAAGCAGGGCTGGAAAAAGATTCTTTTCTTACGACCCACAATACCGAATCTGTATTTGAAGTATGTCCTATTTGCCAAATAGCAATATGCTAACAACAAAGTAGACTATTTATAAGGCCAATTGGTCATATTTGGATAAATATTAATTATAGCAAATGTCTTGTTTATTTTTGTTTTATTTTTGTCTTATTAATTTTTTTTCCTAATCTTTTAGCAGGTGGTAGGAAGGGGAGATTCGAATGACAATAGACCAAAGTTCATAGCTGTAACAACACTGGAAGATGTTCAAGCTGTACGATGTGCGGAATTCCACCCTCAGGGGAATATCTACGCTGTCGGTTCCAATTCAAAAACTCTTCGTATCTGCGCTTACCCTAAACTCTCAGATCTCAGGTAATGCTTTAAAATATATTTAAATTATCTTTGTTACCATCCTTTCATTAATATTCTTACTAAAGTAAAATAAAGTATATAAATTAAATTAATAAAAATAATTAAGGTTAATGTAAAATTAATATTTTTTAACAAATTCATACCTTTTGCAATTAACTTCGGTAACTTAGAATCAAGCTCTGCTGCCCATATGTGGTGTGCATGGCAAAACATAACTGAATGATATCCCGACACTTTCCTTCCAGCTCTGCCATTGCAGACTGAGTGAGGCCACTAGAGCCTTTGTTAGCTTTAATTATATTTTGTCTTGTATGTCTGTTGCACTTTTTCTTCCAGTTTGCTCTCTATTATTTATTTTTATTAAAACTGTGTGCTAGTGTGTATGTATTTGTTAATTTATTCTGAGTTAAATGCAGGCCTTAGTAAAGTGAAAACATATGAACACTATCATTGTGAGGCCTTTAGACTGCTGAGAGAGGAGTATTAATTAAATTACAGGGTTATTTTCCTCTCTCCACTCCATCTATAACAATAATAAAGAGAGAAGAAGAACAAGAAAAAGTCTTTTTATTTATAAAAATTATATAATATAAATTACAAAACAATACAAAATATTTTTGGATTTAAAACCAAAAATCAGACGTGCTGCATGGTCTGTTGACCGTCAGAGGATATAACAATAATATATTTTCCTCTTACATCTGAGTGGTCTAAATCCTGGTATATTTAGGTATCTGTCACTCCCTTGAAAATATAAACTTGATTATGCTCATAGACGTATTGTTCAATATATGATGTATTATATATGTTTTAGAGAGGACCATTCTACCTATCAACCGACTGTTTTATTCAAGAGAACAAGACACCATAAAGGATCCATTTACTGCATGGCTTGGACACCCGTCGGTGACTTAATGGCTACAGGAAGCAATGATAAAACAGTTAAACTGATGAGATTCAATCCTGAAACTTCGAATCTTGAAGGTAAATCAATAGTAAACCAGCAAATTGTTTTTGGTTAACATATTTATACAAAGTTCATATGCATTTATACCTTCTATTTTTAATTTCTTCTTACCTTATGATTAAATGTACAAGTTTTTCAAAACGTCTACTATGTTTAAATTTTCTCTAATATTAAGTATTGGCTTGTTAATTAGCAATTTGATTTTGGTACCTTAAGATCAGTGAATTGTTAAGCTGTGATCCAAGGACCGTTGGGGTGGTATACAACAATTATGACGTTAATTTAACGTTTCAGCTTTTCATTGTATACAAATAACTCATTTTATTATAATCCTATTTTGTCAAGAATGTGTATTTGTTGTTACTTAACTAGTTATTAGAATAATCAAACAATAATTAGTATAAAATCATTTATTTTATTCTGTTGTATATCTAAATAAAACTAAAACTGTTAATTAAAACAATCAGTGATACAGTTATACCAATATTTATTGTAACATAGTGCCTATGAAATTAATTATTGAGCTAGAAATCAGGTATCAAGAATGATATCAAATGTTTAGCTTTAGCGTTTGGATGGGTTCTGTTAAAAAAAATGTTCAAGAGAAGTTCTGGAACTGCTCCATTTTAAGTGTCTCTTACCAAGTTCATTAGCTATTCCACTTTATGTTGTAAATGACTATGAATAAAAAAATGAAAAGTATTTCAATGTATTTTTACAGGACAAGAAATAGAGTTGACTATGCACGATGGTACAGTGCGCGATGTCTGTTTCATTGAAGATACCAGTAACAAATCAAGCTTGCTTATCAGTGGAGGTGCAGGAGACTGTAAAATATATGTTACTGATTGTGCAACTGGACAAGCTTACCAAGCTTTATCAGGACACTCAGGTAAACAAAAGTATTATTAATATTAATTTAATTTGTGGTCAATAAATGTTCATTTTTCAGTAAAATTAACTTATAAGTGAAAATAATTTACATTTTCAGGTCATGTTCTATCGTTGTACAATTGGGGAGGTGCTATGTTTGTTAGTGGAAGTCAGGACAGAACTGTAAGATTTTGGGACTTGCGAACCCGAGGCTGTGTAAATGTTGTCACCCCTATTACTTCTCCAGGAACAAGAGTGAGTATTGATAGTAATTTCACCATTGTTCTTTTGATAAAAGTTTATATTTTTATACTTATTTAAAATGAAAAAAATTATGATTATATAAATAAGAGATTATAGATTAAAACCTAAAAATATCTTATCTCTTTAAGTTGGCAAAGTTTTTACAAATTATTTGTTACATACATCAGCCATATATACACATAGTTATAGTTGTTGTTGTTTTTTTTTTTTTCTTTTTTTTTTTTAAGAATTACTTTGAAATTAAAATTAATTATAACCCATTAGCTGTTTAATTTCACGATTTTAAAACATTTAATGTAAACAATATGAGTATGTTTGGTATTCATCTTTTTAACATTATTTTAAATTTTTGGTTGTATTAACTTAATGAATGTTTAAACTTTTAATCTTTAAAATAGAAATGTTTATTTCGCAAACAGTTTTCCTATTAGTGTTAAATAAATTGAAGAAAAAAATTTCCATTAACGTTTTCATTCTGTTTGAACTTCAGCTGATTCATGCATGCATGTTCAAATAAAAAAAAAGTGTTTGAAGTATAAATATTGTGTGTGTAGTCTGGATCAGTGGTAGCGGCAATATGTGTGGATCCATCAGGACGATTACTGGTTTCTGGTCATGAAGACTCTGCCTGTGTCCTATTTGACATCAGGGGCTCCAGAAGCCTTCAAGCTTTCAGGCCACATTCGGCAGATGTTCGCTCAATCAGATTTTCTCCTAGCGCCTACTATCTTCTCACTGCTGGCTATGATAACAACCTTGTTCTAACGGATCTTCAAGGTGATAACTAACTTCTTATATATTTTTAAACTTAATTAATTATAAATGTTTTCTTATTTCTTTAAGTGACTTAACTTTCTTTCTGAATAAAAAGAAGCATGTTTTAGAATAGAAATTATTTAATTTTATTAAATTTAAACTATTTTAAATTATTATTTAATACTTAAAATATTAAAATAATAACATAAAATAACAACACAACTTAAAATAATTCTTAAATTATTTTAAGGCGTGTAGGAATTTACAAGTTTGACAAATGTTGCTCTATATCCTTCACTTTTGTGCAAATAATGTACATACACTATTTGAATTGATATTTATTGAGATGCATTTCACAAATACTCTATCTGGCTGGTAATTGACTTGAAAGACAGAACAACTTGACATTTGTTAGATAAATTTTGTAAGCTCCCATTTTATATTTAAAAAAATTTAACTGACAATTATCATTTTGAACACATGTTATTTATGTATAGAGTTTAAAACCTTTATCTTTTGTATTTTTATTTATTTATTACAGATTTTTTAATTATATTTAAAAATTGAGTTAAACAATTATTGTGAATGAAATTAAATATTGACAGCCATGATGCAAAATCTTGTAAGAACAAAAACTAAAAATTTTCAAGACACGGAAAAAACTTTTGTTCTATGAGAATTATTTTTTCAGTTCGATTTTTTTTTTGCAGGCTTAAGACAAAGATGTAATGCTCTATGTAACGTTGTTAATTGTATTTCTGTCAAATAATCTTTTAGAGCCACTACTTCTAAATTATAACTTTTTAGTTATTTTGAAAAACAAGTATTAGTTAGGTAAAAGCAATCAAGTAATTTAGTAACACCCATAACTTTGTTAATAATGATCAAAGCTTGTCAGGTACATAGTCAGTTTCCAAAATGTAGGGAAATGATACTTCAATTGAAAAATTGTTAAAAATTTGATTGGAAAGCGAGTATTTGATCACACGGATTATTCACTTTTTTGTCTCCCATTATAGAGGCGGCTCGAAGCATGTTTCTGAGTTTCTTGCGATTTCGAAGATTCATTGGTTTGAAAAGATAAAACTAGAGTTCTTTTTCCGTCTCGTGTTAAATTTTCCAATCAATTCTTTGTCTCCCACAATCTGGAATTCAGGGGCATTGCAGCTTTTTTTCAGTCAAGCTCTTTTTGCAGTGTCCAGGTGGTTTCAATTGTTTTGAAGACCGTTTAATATTATATTCTCACTTATCACTCTCTTATTTGCTTCGTTTAGTTCTACGGCAAGCAGTGATCACAGTCCTTGGGGACGGGATGATCGAACGGGCTAACGTGTTTGCACATCACCGCGCGTTGTCTGGCAACTTGATAACAGAAGTTGGAGACTACAAAATTACGAGCTTGCGTCCCTGTGCCTATAGGGGTCTTTTGAATCCCACCCCCACAGCCCCTGACCCCGTAAAACCCCCATATAGCCTAAAAGGCGAGGTAGAGAAGAACAAAAAAATAAAATAAAAAGTAGTATTGCACTCCCTGAAATATATATTGGGTTGATATATTATATATTTGTGTATTATATTATGGTATATATTGGGTTGGTAAATAAGTCCTTTCGGTTTTTCTTTTTATTTATGTCACTATGATACACTTCTTATCAGAGAATCCAGGTATTTGCCCAGTGGCGCCAGGCTGGAAGAGCTTAATTTTAGCTTATTAATAAATCTAATTGATACTGTAGTCTTTGCCTAAAATACTTTATAGAATCTATATTTACATGACCACCGTTCATTGAGCATTTCATTATGTTTTTTCTGTAATGACACAATCTCTATAACCTTCATTCTAACTTACAGTTTTTTACATCACAATGTGCTGGTTTTGAATTACATTTTTTTTTATAAAAGTCGATAGATAAGGAATGAAACATCGTAGATTTCAGTTTGTGAGATCAGAATATGCGCTAGAACAAGATTGACCAGAAAAGCTCAAAATCTCATTTTCCATAGAAATTTTCCTTACAGGCTTTTGCAGTGTGGATATACACATGATGATTTTTATTATATTACTTATATAAAAAGAAAACATTTGTCAAATATTGTTATGAGAACTTACTAGAAGTAACACATTTGTTTAGTACATCTAAATATAGTATATAATTAAAGATATTAAATAAATAAAACTAAAATTGAGGTTTTTATTAAGGTATTTTAAATTTTTATTAAACAGATACAGAATGGTTGCGCTTATGTGGAGCAACAAGTGAGCCCAAATATAATTTTCATTTAAGCTTGAAGTTCTAATTTTTACAATTATTACTTTTAAACTATTTCTTCATAGACATTTTTTAGTTTATGCTTTTTCTAGGATGTTTTTGTAACAATAGAGGTAATTAATCACATTCTTATAATTATAAAAAGTTAATTTAGTTAAGTAAATAGCTTTAGATTGTTTTTTTCCTAATACTTAGAAGTTATTAGTTCTTTTAAAAGAAATTTTCCACTGCAGTGTTTTTCTTTGATGTAAATGTTTTCCCCATTAATCTATAGCTAAGGCTCTTCTGGAACACCTTTCCTGCTAGTCTTTCTTCCACCTTATCTTTCCATTTTACTCTTGTCTTCCTTTTTTCCTTCTGTTAGCGATTCTGTAATTGAGAGGATGTTCCTTTTCACTTCCATCTGTTCTTGAATTTTTTAATTTTTAATACTTTCCCTATAGGATTTTCACATCACCATTCTCCAAAAGTCCATTTCAGCAGCCAATAATCATTTTCAATGTTTAGGATTAGTTTTTAAAAACACAATCTTTTAAAATATAATTTAATAAAAGTAAGGATAGTTTTCGCATAAATAATGTAAATCATTAATTTTTTTACAAATTTTATTTACGAAGAAACCAAATCAATTATAAGAATGCACGTTTCATTGAAATGCCTTGTCTTGAAATTAGATACCAATAAAATTAGTTTATTTAAATGATATTTGCATATTTTTTTATTATTTTAGAACTTAGAGAAAAACATTAATACGATAAATTCGTTTAAACAATTTAAATATTAACTTTTCTAATGATGTAGAGATGGTTGACCATTGATATAATATGAGAAGGAGTTGATCAGAGGGTGCGGTCAAATTAAATAAGTAGAATTATTAATTTTTGCTGACGTTTCGACCCACTTTGTAGGTCTTTATGGTGGGTGGGAACGACCTGGGTGGGAAGTGGTTCGAAATGGGTCCTACCCTCCATAAAGACCTACAAAGTGGGTCGAAATGTCAGCAAAAATTAAATAATTCTACTTATTTAATTTAGTATTAATTTGACAGAAAGGTCTCATGTTCATTGAAGTAGTGTACAAGGCTTAAATAACCTGATAAATACTTACATACATTAATATATTAATCTTTTTACTTTTGATATTTATACAATATTTAATATTTATTTGATTACAATATTTGATATTTATACAAAATGTAATATTGACTTCTTTTGTTTTGAAAAGGTGATTTGACTACTCCACTTCCGAGTGTAGTCGTTGCTTCGCATACAGACAAAGTGATATCAGGACGCTGGCACCCAACAGAGTTTTCCTTCCTGAGTACTTCAGCTGACAAAACTGCTACTTTATGGGCTCTACCACCAATATAGCCTTATCGTCGCTTCTAAAAAGAATTACAATCACCTAATCCCCAATACTTGATTCTTATATTTTTAGTCTGCTAAGGAAGGAATGATGTATGACACGTTGTACAAGATTGTAATTTAATGTGTAAATATTGTAATCTACTAATTACTACAAGAACAAGACAAACTACCAGCCCATTGCTGGGTATTTGCTTTCCCTTTACAACATATATTTTGGTATAGTAGATCATTGTCATTATGCTATCAATGTATATTGTTTAAATAGCTCGATTGACTGACATTGAAAACTACTGAATTGTTGCCAAAATTTGTATATTTTTAATAAATATGTAAATGTACTTTTTGTTTCATTGTGTAAAATATGATTTGTTTGTCTTTCCATTCACAAAGTTATCTGTAAAATACACTAGTCAGGATGAATAGAATTTTTAATGCGATTGTTGCAACTCTTGAAAATGTGAATTATTTTTTCTACTGCTACGACTGTTATCTATTAAATATAAAAGACAAAAATGATGCTGTGTACCTTTCTATTAATAATGTGATGTAATGTTACTACCGTATTGTATTAATAATGCAATGTAATGTTACTAACAAATTATTTAAATATTTGAGGAGAAATGGAATCGTCAAAAGTATTTGGGAACATTTATTTGTGAATTAACCAAAGTAATCAGTATACATGCTAATTTCTTACTATTAATTTCTTAAAATAAGTAAGTTGAATTATATTTATACCATTTGTAACATCATTATAAATAAATATTTTTTGATACTTGTTATTTTGTTAAAGTGTATTATAGCGATATTTATGATTGTTTTTAATATTTGAATGATAGAAGGATTAAAGTAATTTTTGACTTGAAATTTTAGCTTAATCACGTAGTAGTTTTTTTTTTTGCTAAATGTTGCTCCTTGTTATCTCAATTGTTAAGAAAACTGTTATTTATAATAACTTTTAATATAGTCCATAAGGAAAAAACTCGATTGACATTATGTTCAATTAACCATATTTTTTCTATATCCTATTTTGTCTTATTATGAATGTAAATGAAGCCTAAAAATAAAAGATAATAAAGCATACATTCATTATATATTTTTAATAGTAACCCAAAAAGGCTTTAGTAATTGCACTGCTGTATATTTCCAAACATTGCAAATGAGAAGTTTGAAAAGATATAGCATACATTATTACTTAAGTTTTGTTATTACTTCTTAAATATAGCTAAGTTATTAAAACTGATTATAGATAATGTTGCTTAGTAATAAAACAAATTGTGTAATATTTTTGTGTATTTGTGCTTTGTTTACTCTCACACTCAAAACACTGGGACGGACAACACTATTCACACGTACATTCCTTTATAAAAAATTGTTCACAAGATGAATCAGAGCTTGTTTGGTCACTTTCACTTTTTGCATCAGACGATGAAGTTTGTTCATCGGAGTTTTTCCCATCAGGCCGAAAATCTTTGTCCTTTTTCCTGTGCCTTTTCTTATTTATACAGACACTCTTACATTTTTTTCTACTTCTCGAATTTGCCTAATTATAGATTTTTAATTAGTTTTAGACAAAGATACATACAATGTATTTGTATATATAAAAAAATTGGTTATAAACAATTCTTTTTAAATTTACTTATTACTATAGATTTTACTGATTAAAATCTATGATGATTTTGGAAATTATGGCATGAAAAATCGTGGACTTTTGTTATCTCAAAATGTTAAGATGAGTTGTCTTGATGTCTTTAGAACTATAGATACCTATAAAAAAAAAAAAAAACTTAATTATCTGGGTTAGAGGAGAGAAATGGCTTCGAAATAATTAAATATATCATACAAAAATGAAAGGGTTGTTTTTACATTTGGTTGATTACACTGTCCTAGAAACAAATTTTTTTTTGCATGTATCTTGGATGAAACTGTTTCTCTGGAATAATTTTGGTGTGAGAAACTCGAATTTTCTGGCAGAATCCTTATACTAGCTACCATTCTGTAGATACGTATACCCAGTATCAAATAAAAATAATTAAGTTATGGGAAGTTACACTATCATTTTTAGGCTTTAAAATTGCTATATTATTTGTGAAATACTTTTAAAACCCAGAAAACATTAAATTACAACTTCTCTCAGCAAGAACAGCCCTGTTATACAGTTTATTTAGAACGCTTTTTCGTTGATTGACGATGGTACTGATGTTCTGGCAAGTCCCTCACATCCTTCCAACAGTAATTTGCAAGCATTGAAGTATCCCACTGACCTTGATATCTTTGTTCCATCAAGGATATATCTTGGGGAAATCGCTCATTGTGTTCATCACTTACAGATCCACAATTTTCAGGAAAAATGTCCAAATGAGAGTGAAGAAAGTGAATCTTGAGTGACATGTTATAACCGAGATCTCTGTACTTCTCTTTTGTTACCGAAGAAACCATTAAGTAAAGCTGTAAATGCTTCCCACGCTGCTCTTTCTTTACCCTAAAGAATATTAAGAAATTCCCCATCATTAAGAAGCTCACGGATTTGTGGACCAACAAATACACATTCTTTAACATTAGCTTCACTTAAGCGAAGAAATTTTCCTCTCAAGTACTTGAATGCCTCTCCTGATTGGTCCATTCCTTTGACAAAATTCTTCATGAGCCCTAACTTTATATGTAGTGGAGGCAAAATGATTTTTTCAGAGTCCACAAGAGGGTTGTAGAGAACATTTTTTCGTCCAGGGGTCAGGACTTCTCTTTGAGGCCATTCTTTCCTGATGTAATAAGATGCTCTGTCCTGAATGTCCAACTCACATAAGAAACAACAGTACTTAATATGTCCCTGTTGCATGCCTAGAAGAATTGCCACCACTATCAGGTCCCCACAGATTTGCCATTGGTAGTCCTGGTATTTGATAGATTTTAGAAGGATTTCCATGTTTTGGTAAATTTCCTTCATATGGACAGCATGGCCAATAGGGATAGAGATAAGTAAATTGCCACTGTGCAACAGAACTGCCTTGAGGGATAGCTTTGATGAATCTAAGTACAGCCTCCATTCAGAAGGGTTGTGTTTGAGATTTAATCCTGTCATTAGACCTGGAACATCACAACAGGATGCCCCCTCTCTCCCCAGGATGATGGGAGAAAAGTTCTGAAAAACAGCTATTTAAAGAAAAAAAATATATAGGAAAAATTCATCATCATAGACGAATTTTTGGCAGAAAAATAATTCCGAAAAAACTATCCAAAAACAGCTATTTAAAGAAAAGAGAAATATCAGAAAAATCATTCTCTAAGATGAATTTTCTAATGTGATCAATATCATCATCTCGAGCTCGACAATCCATAACTGGATCTTTGCTGCCTCAAGAGTTTTCCTCCATGTTTATTTTTCTTAGTAGCCTCCACCAGTTCCATTGACCATAATTATTGACCATATCACTTAATCAAATTATTAAATTTAGGTACTCATTTGATGCACAATTTGATGTTCTTTAATTTCTTAAAGAATATTTTTTTCGGTTTGATGCACTGTTTACTAGTAATACATGAAAAAAAAGATCAGATAAATCAGGATTTTTTGCTGTAAAAAGTTTCAGGTGACCCATGTCAGAATTTAGTTTTTTACTTGTCTAAACCCATATACACAGGGTATCTCGTAAATAGAGGGAAATATTTAAAGGAGTGATAGCAGAATTCAATAAATACAAAAAAATTTATGTAAATAATGGTTCAATTTTTAGCAGAAAAGTAGAGAATTAAAGTTTTGTGATTTTTCATGTAAGCCATGTTTTTGTTGAATAGGAAGTGATAACAAAAAACTATTTAATTTAAGTAATTATGGTTGCTTCACTGTAAACTAGACAAAATTTACTTTAAATAAAAATAGAGTTTGCTTATGTTAAAACCATTTAAAGAGGACTTTTGAGCGGCTAAACTCAGCTAAGGAGTGGAGGGAGATGGGTAGTGGTGGGGGAACGGGCAGGAGTGGGGGAAGCACCTGGTACAGACATGCGCCTCCCCCTGAGAAAATTCCTGGATCCGCCACTGTTTTGGTCACCAACCTTCACCCCAAAATACTTGTGGTATGCTGATCATCTGGGTGATAGGGCCTAATTGACTTGCAAAGGTTACTTCCCCACAAATATAACAAAAGTTGTCAGGAGTATTCACACACTTTTTGGGCATTGTAACTTCTCCAAAACTACTGGGCTATCACAGCAAAATCATTTAAAGAATGCCTGAAGCAAGAAAAATCATGTCAAGAGTAATTTGAAATGTAAACACTGCATAAAACTGTCAGCAGAATGCTTCTATGATTCACAGACAGAAATCAATCCTACCATCCCAGGAGCAGGAAATTTCCCCATATTATGAAAAAAGTAACTATATCGTTGAAACTAGAGCTAACTGGTGGTTTTGATGTGAAAATTCGAATTTCTCACACCAAAAAACATGGAATGAGGCTGTTTTCAAGTGAGAGCAGTGTTGTTGATCAGTCAGAACTCTGATTTCTTCCAACTGTAATTTTCTATCTTTTCTTGATGATTCAATATGCCTCATTAATGATTTCATGCAGTCAATTAACAAAATGGGATGTAAGGAGCTTATGTGATGTAAAGAAGAGAAGTGAGTATACATCCTTGAGCATCAGGTATATTAAGTTCAATGGAATCAATCATTAAATAATTGATACTGGTATTTGGCAACTGTCCATTATGTGACACCTTCTCATAAATGTCATGTTCAAAAGTATAACCTAAAATGTTACGGTTCAAATCCCACTCAACTCACTCTTTCATCACAAGATATAACCCACAAGCCTGAATACTCCTTCTCATTGAACTGTTTATTTTAATACTTCATTATGCATGCTACATTTTTTAGGAATTGCTTATCCACCTCCTAGAGAAAATCTCATCTATAACTTCATTCAAACCAATTATTTCTTCATCTCCTCAACTATATGTAGGAATAAAAGGTTTTTATATTAATGTTACCTGTTTTATTTATTTTGTTTTCACATTTATTATTTATATTGCTTTGTACTGCTAATAGGTAAACATACTGACATTTATTTATCTATAATTTCATTATTTACGAATGCTTGCTTTTTATTTTAATTTTGTCTCTATAACTATAAGTCATTTTGTGCTGTACAAATAAATGTAACTGGTTTCACACATCTCCATTATTCTTAGGGATCTAAATGTCCCAGAATAAAATTTACTTTTCTTTCTTCTTTCTTCCTATAACTTGAAATCAAATACTAATCTGTCAACTTCCTGAAGACTTCAAATATTAACTCTCTTAAAGGTTGATTTTGTCACAGATTTATAGAACTTTATTTAGGTACCCTTAATTGTCAATTGCTTAGTTAGAAAAAATTTCATAGATCTTTCATTGTCAATCCAATAGATGAATTCTAAAATAGCTCAATTAATTAATAATATATTCATATATACCTTGTTAAAAATTGTTTGTATAGCTTTATCTTGTTTTAAACCATTTTCTTCAGTCATTTGGTTTTCTTCAAACTGTTTAGTCAACAATACTTCAACGAAATCCTTTGAAAAAGTCATGGAATCATTCATAAAAGGAGTCCCAACATTTTCTTGCTTTTCGTTTAAATTAAAATAATAATCAATATTTGTTCTCATAACAACATATCCATTTGTGCCTGCTGAAAAAATACTATTGTTTATAAGTTTGGGGTAGAGTCCTAATGAGTTTTCAAACATTAGTTCGGTGTTGCAGTGCATTTACATACCAAAATATATGTAATTGTATAGAAAATTGACTAACTTTAAAGATAAAAAATAGTTTTTAATATATCTTAAAAAATAAGAAATAATTTTTTCTTTATGGTCAAAGGAAAAGACAGAATATCTGACAGAATATCCAAATGAAAGGAACCCTTTTAAATATCAAAAATAATCATGTCAAGAGCAAAATGTTCTAATTTCATGGATAGAAAATTCATCAAAGTACTTATCGATTTAATCTTCTGATATGTGGTCCCTAGAGCACGATATGTCTAAGTGACGTTTTTCCAATTTTTGGTAAATCAAAGTTAAAGTTGGAAAACATATTTTTATATGAAATTGAAAGATTAATTCATTTTTTTAAGCTTAATTTTCATGTAAAGCTACTGTATTTACCTGAATCAGAAAGGTTGGCACTGTCACTAATTTTGAAGTTTTGCTTAGAAGATCCAGGCTCTTGGTTATCCATTTTTTGGTAGATAGTTAAATATGATAGAAAGGATTATTTAAAAATTTTGGAGGGGCATTTGAATTTTCCAAACAGCTAGATGTAAAAACTTATAAGCTGTAATTATCTATTTATCAGGGAACCGATAAATGTTACAACTGTTTGACCTTTCACCATGTGCATTACTAACTGTGCGTCACAATGCAAGATGTAAAGAAATTTAAAGTGACACCTAGACCCTTTGTATTGAAAGTAATGAACAGCATTTGCACGTTGGTATAAGGGTTCTCCTCTGGGGAGCAAGACATGTCAATAAATCCACTTGAATCTCTTTACCTCTAAAAACAATGCCATTTTTACTATTGTATTCCATATCTAACTTGATTTTTTCAAAAATGTCACTTGGATCTTTTAATAATGAATTTTAGCAATAAACTCTTGATATGAATAAATGTGCATAATTTTGATGCCTGATCTATTGAAGTACTAGTAATTTGTGATTATAAATACTTTTAATATCAATTAAACATTTTTATCAAAAAGCGCTCTGCATAAAGATATCACAAGCGATAGATTATTAATTAATTTTTCTTGTCAACTATCTTTGATTTGATACACTTTTTGTTAGTTGATTGGATTTTAATTTCAGATAAACTTTGTATCAGAATAATTTACCTGAAGTTTGAGATACTTTATTGATATGGTAGTTAGTGGTCGATTCCACTGTTTCTACGCATAGTGGAAAGTTAGTGGTTAGACAAAATGCATCTGTGGAATCCTCTGGTAGCCTTGTGGCCTCAATCATTTGCTGGTGAGCACACTAGTGTGAATAGTGATCTGAGTCCATGAAGGAGTAGATTAGTGTTCGTGGCTTGAAGGATACATGTAGATGTGACGCGTGTTCAAATCATGAAATTAATCACATGTTTTCTGATTTGATTAAATAATATAAATCTATTTGTTATACCAAACAGATGTTTTCATTTATGTGCTTTAAAATAATTTAAAAAATTGAATTACCCCTTCCTGGCATGCTTTTTCAGTAATATATCCGGAATATTTTTCATTTAATGTGGAATTTTTTTTTCCATCACATATATGTTCTAAAATACATCTGATATATATTACAATATTAAAAATAAAAATACTTGAAAGGATTGCTTTTTTATACATTCTGACAAAGATTAGTTTTTGTAATAATTAAAGAGTAATCATGAAAATAATTAAATAATTATGTCACATTATTTATTAAAATCAATTACTAAGAAAAGCTCAGTGCATCTTGAATTTGTTTGCTATTTTTTAACTCTCATGCTGTTTATAAATTCACTGAAAAGGGAAGGTTACTGACCTAGGGCCACCGATTTCAATGAAACTTTTTTTGGTGATACTAGGTCAAGACCCATTAGACCCATGTCTGAGGGTTCTTGCCAATGCGCCCTAGGAGCCGAGAAAAAAAATATATAAAATTTTATTATTTTTTTATGTTACTGTTTTCTGACTTTGCTCTAAATGAATTTATAAGTTATTATATATAAATCATTTTTTTTTTTTTTTTGTGTAAAATAAGAAAAACATATTGCTTATTGTATTAAATGAATTCTTATATATCATAAATTACAAAAACCCATAGACGCTTCCAGTAAAGTACGCTAAGTAAATTTTTTTATGAAAAAGCTATTCAGATAAGTTTTTAGGGTTCCCCAAAAACTCTTAAATACGTGTTTTTTTTTAAATAAAAAAATATTAAATTTTGGACTTCATTTTATGGGAGGATTTTTTTTCATGTTGTTTACTAAAATATTTATAACTCCTCAGGTTTTCTTGTAAGTCGACGTTACTACAGCCGTTGGAAAGCTAAATTATTGCTCTTCAAAACTATATTGATAACTTTGATATTTCAAGCTTTTCTAAGGAATAAATAAATAAAAACTTCTTTTATGAAGGCGTTGAAAAGTTTTCAATGCATAAAATGCACATTAAAGAAATAACAAAAAATTGATTATCTATCTAGGTAAATATATAATTGTCTTTAGCTGATTTTATATTGCTAACCTTTTTGGCCCGACCATTTTTATTTTATTTTCTAAGTGGAATAAGTGGCCAAAATTTCACTGATTTTATTTTTAATACTTTTTTTTTTTTAACAATTCATTTTTATTTTTTTATTATTTTTAATATAGTTTTTTTATTGATTTTTATATTGTATTCATTAATTTTCTAAATATCACAGGAACTTTTAGATTAATAAAAATTAAAAAGCAAGTTTGCATAAATATATTTATGGGACTATATATTTCTATCCGAAAATTGGATAGACATAATTTTTTTTTTCCAAATATAAAATCGTATGACAAATAATGTCAACTCTAAAAAAGGTAACATTCAAAGTTATTGAATAGAACATATTCTAATAAAATATCTCTAACAGAAATCCTGTTCTCACTTTGATTTTATTTTCGACATAATAATAATGGCACAAGTTTGGCAACTACGAAACTTTCGAAATGATGAAATTTTTATATTTTCTATTCTGTGGATATTAAAGATACTATGAATCATTGAAATAAGCCATATGGATAGTTTATCGGCTTCTGGATCTAAAGAAACAAAAGAAGTGGCTTGAAGAGAGAATAGTAACAACTACAAAATTTTCTATATCACTCCTGTAAAAAAGAAGATAAAATATAATAGAAGATCTTTATTTATCATTATTGGAAATTTGAGATCAGCAACTCTCTCTTTATTGTATGACCTTCATCCGTAACTAACAAATTTGTCAGCTCCACAGTACCTCCATCACCTCTAATGTTAATAATAAATGGACTTCAGGTATCTCTTACTCATGATACATATATTTTTATCTGTATTTTTATTTTTAATCAAATATTATATTGTAAATACTTAATTTATGTATGACCACACTGGGATTTATCTTGTACTTATCATTTGTTCTAAAGGTACAACAGTCCCCGGATAATAAAAAAAGATTTTGATTTCATTTCATTTCATATAAAGAGATGACAAAAAAATATATATTTCAAGAAATATGTTATTAAATGATACATCTGGGAAGGTTGTCAGAATCTCTTTTTCTTCACATCATAACATCTTTTCTTAGACGTAATACATTTAATATAGGAATCATACAAATTTTATAATAGACAGTTTATAACTATATCTTAGTTTCTACTCACAAATAGTTTTTAACATATTTATAAGATAAAAGGCATAAGAAACTTCTCAAGGAAATAATATATTTAAATTAAAATGTATTTCACTCTTTATTCTTAAACTTCAAAAATAGTAATGGTGGAGATCACAATAATTGTTAAAAAAATATAATAGTAAGTTAAACACTATAGTTAGTAATAATAATACATTAGAAATATTATTACTATTATATTGAGAGATATGGAACTTTTCATCATCTAGGCCCATGTAGTTCTTTTGTGAAATTTTCTCAGTTCGTTCAGACATACCATTGAAATATTCTCCCTTCAAAGCATAGATGATTTAAAAAATCTTACTGAGCAGTACAAAGTATAACAACAAAAAAGTGTTAATAAGTAACGTGTAATTCATCATAATAATGAGATATGATACAACTAAACCTGAAGAAATTACAAATTTTTATATTTATTTTTTTAAGTACCATCACACTACTATTTTTCAAGGCTACTTTCTTATAATATCATATCATATTTTTTTTTCAAGGAAATAATCAACCTTTATATCTCATCATTTTATACATTTGTCATTACAATGTTTCAAGTTCATGGGCTCATAATTAAGTTGTCTATATTATAGATTATAATTATTTCCTAGAAAAAATAATTAGATGATATTATATATATATTTTTTTTTGTACAGTAAAAGCCTTTTAAAAATTATGTCATTTACACAAAAGCAGTAACTTATAAATGTGGTTTGGTAGCCTTAGTTTGTTTTTGTAAGGCCTCTTTTAAAATTCTCCCAAAATCTTCATCCACTTTGGAGAAGTTCTTGAGTGCTCTTTCCTAAAAAAAGAAATAATTTAAAAAAAAAAAAGAAGAGCAAGCAAAGTATTTTTGCAATCAATTAAAATAATACCTGAATGAAATCAGCAGCATCCTTCAGACTTCCGGATATGTTTTCTATTAGTCTCTTCCTTTCTTCTGCCTTAAGAACCTTCCTGTAGAAGATGGAGGCTTGGGTAAAGTTGTCCTCATCACCAGACTCATGCCTGAAAAAGTTTTTATGAAGATTTATTGTAATTATGTAGTTTCCATAATTGAAGGCCTTAATGCAAGAACCAGGTAAGTCCAGAATTAAAATTTTATTATGAGAATCATATGAAATTAAATAAGAAAACAGGTAAGTCACCAATTAGGTTTTGAATAATGCCAGCTTAGATATTTAGTTAGTTTAAACAAAAATATAAGACCGTTGATAAAACAGTAGAGATTTAGATTTTCCAATGTGTAAAATAAAATTCATTCTTATATTATTAAATTATTTTTATTATTAAAACAAAAAAAAAAAAAAAATACCTTTCAACATCACCAGCAACATTAAACTGGGATAAAGCTGATGTGGGGTCTGGAAGTGGACCATTGAAGCTGTTAGGGAAGTAGTTTGGAGTACCATCTTGATTTTCAAATGCCATAGGACCATCACGCTGGCTGTTGGAAATCCTGGCTCTGTATGGACAGTTAACAGGAAGTTGGTTGTAGTTGGCACCAAGCCTGTGGCGCTGGGTGTCGGAATAAGAGAATAGGCGACCCTGAATCAGTAAAGGTTTTGTTGAAGGACTCATTCATTTTAAAATAAATTACAATTGTAGTAGAACCTCTATTATTATTTCATCCTTTATTATATATCCTTTATTATTTCATTGAAACTTTCAACAAGACCAGGATGAGACGTATTTTGAATATACTTCCATTTTTGACTTAAGATTTGTTAAAATTCATTCACCATGGCCTCTAAATATAAGCATATCAAGAAAATACATTAACAAATACGTGGTAACTAACTTGCCCAACTCAGGACCAAATTGAAAGAGCTTTCTGAAATTGTGTATACATAAGTGAATGTTCTAGATAAAATTCAATAAAAGTGATGCTGCATCATTTATTTTTACAAATCCCAAACTTTTCTCTAATGTTGCGCCAAATCAAACTAGTCATTTTTAAAATATAGGAAATTTGCTCTTGGATAAATGAAAGTAGTCAATGGAATTTAATGAAATTGATGTGGGATTATCTAATTGCTATCTGCACAATCCCTGAAAATTTTATCCAAATTGGATTAATGGTGGGAGGTGTTATTCCACACACATGGATTTTACTTCAGAATGACAGAGGGACAGTCAGATGCATAACCGAATTTGTTTCTTTATATATAAAATGTAAAAAAGAATGAGAAATTTGTGATTCAAGGGACGTTATTTTTCAATTAAATGAATAAAATTTCTATTAGAGGCATTAAAAGGTCTACTACCAATCCACAGTTAGCTTAGAAATTTGGCAATTATGTCATGATTGCTCATTCCTCCACACCTGACAAAAAAATACCATTGTATTTCTGAAGTTGTTTTTAATTATTTTTCATTAAATATATTTTTATTCAGTTATTTTATTAATGAGCTAACATTAATTTATATAATACACTTTGTAATTTTTCATAACTCCCAACAAGTGTAAGAGTTACATTAAGATTTGATTTTGAGATAATTGTAAAAGATTTGGTTTTATTATAAAAAATATTGAAAAACTAAATTATACAAATTAGGAAAACAATAACAATTACATTGGATTAAATATTGAAAATATTAAATTAATGACTGACCTGCAGCAATTTGTCTGGGCTAGGTTCGACACCAGGGATCATATTAGCTGGATTGAAGGCAATCTGTTCTACTTCAGCAAAGTAGTTCTTAGGATTCTGGTCCAACACCATTTTTCCAACAGGAATAGGTGGGTAATCTGCATGAGGCCATACCTATAATGTAAATAACATAAAAAACATTAATAAATTACATATTTGTAATCATTACTTTTTAATGATAACCAGATTTATTTAAAATAATATATTTAACATTTTGTGTTACGTAAGATGGATTTTAAATGGCTTGTTTAGTAAATAATGACATTAAATACATCTAAAAAAATAAAATTTTTCTAATCAAATATTTACTACAACATAGTTTATTGACATGGTGTTATTAAATAGAAATTTAAAAGAGAAATCACTAATTTGCATTGACCAAGTTTTTAGTTGACTTGATATAAAAACCAATAATGATATTTTAATAATTAAACCTTTGTAACATCAAAGGGGTTGATTTTAGAGGTTTCGGCCTCCTTTGGAGTCATGACCTGCAGATACCAGGTCCAGGATGGGTATTGTTTATTCGCAATAGCGTTGTATAGGTCTCTGATACCATAATCAGGATCAGAGACTGCAAGTTCTGCTGCTCGGCTTGCTGACAAGTTCTTGATTCCTTGATTTGTCTAAGAATAATGAAAATCAGAAATTATTTATAAAAAAATACAAATATATTCATATTAAGTTTTAGTAATGGTGTTAAATTAATTTACCTTATAATAGAATTTGCAGAAATGGATTTCACCCTTGTTATTTACGAGTTTGAAAGTATGTGAGCCATAACCGTTCATATGCCTATAGCCATCAGGAGTTCCTCTGTCAGAGAACAGGAAGAGTACTTGATGAGTGGTCTCAGGTCTCAAGGAGAAGAAGTCCCATACCATATCAGCATCCTAAAAATAATAAAAATAAAACTTTATCGATTCAACCAAAAACAAAGTGTTACAAGTTGATTGTATCTACAACAGCAAAGAGTAAGTGATTAAATAAAAAGTAATAAATAATAAAAAGTAACATTTTTTTAACATTTAACAGTTTGAATTTGCAAAGTTTGGAAAACTCAGACCACTGTAGGAATCATTGTCTTCCATTGCAATAATCCCTTCTCCTTTTCATATTTATTTCTTATGTACTAATTTTAACATCTTATTCATCTCATTTTATCATTACTAAAATTAACAGCTAATTTATTAATTTTATATGTATACATAAATAATTTCAAATGATTTTCCTTAATCTGTCAGGTAATCTTCAAAAACAAAATAAAGTAATGAAAGTGCAATAAACTTTCATGGATTATTCTTCCATAATGGCAGAAACTGAAAGACTAGTTACAGCTTAATAACAAAAACAAAAACTTGAATTTCTTATTGGTTGGAGGATAGCATCAAATTATCTTTTGAGCAAGATTTTAACTTTTTTAAAAATAATATTTTGGTTCATGGATCAAAATCTCAGTTCCTAAACATATTGCTGATGCTGGTTAATTTACTTGAATCGGTGGTAGTAGTTATTGAGATTGAATTACAGGATTAATTCTTTTTTGGTAGCTTGATCACTAGAAACCGGATCTCCGTGTAGTAAAAATCTGAAAAATGTGTAGCAAAAAACTCAAAATGTGCATAATCGTGCAGTAAAAAACCCAAAGTATGTTGAATTGTCTATGTGATTTTTACAACTAATGTGATTTTTTTACACCTAAAAACGTGCAAAAATCATATACTTTGTTTAATTTACAATATTGATATATTGTAATATAATATATCTAATCTTATCCAACCTTTTGTTAAGCTTCTGAATATTGTGTCTCAAAAAAAAAAAAAAAAAATTAAAATGTAACATTGAAAATCCATACCTATAATCAACTAACAACAATAATAAATTACGATTAACCTAAATCTTGAAGAAAGAGAAATAAAAAAAAAATAAGGACTAACATAAATAACAGAAAATTTAAAGATAATTCACAAAGCAAATACAAAAAGGTTTCAATAGTTAACCGACAAATAATTAAATATATTTGTTTAAATGTATCTTAAATCGGTTAATTGACTGGCACATACAAGGAATGAAGTAATGAAGAGGAACTTAAAAAGTTAAAGGTATGAAGGATAAGACCAATTGATTTCAGATATTTAAGCTTAATTAAAAATAATATATGTACTTACATAATTATTATAAACTGTCCACATTATAATGAAAACTTTATTTTTTAAATTAAAATATTTACAATGTTTACATTTTGAAATTTGTTTGTGAAAAATTGTTTCTCCTATCAATTAATACGCCTTTTAATTGAGGAAAAGAGTGTTCAACATGAACTGATGTAAGGGAACTATTTTGTTACAAGCAACTGCTGGTTCTTTGTCAACATTAACATTTACACCTTTAATGCAGTCGTTATATTTTTTTATAAGAGCGTAACCTGAATTTTTTCCTATTACGGAGTACAAATTTTGCAATATAATTTTTCCTATTTCACAATTGATATTTCAAAGATTTTCTCGTACAATTTCTATAATTTCAATTTTTTTATTAAGTGACAAATTTCGAGATTCTAACTGAGTTAATTTTTGCATAAAATTTGACAAATGTAATTTTATGAATGGCAAATCGGACATTGTTGATGTATGCAGGATAGTCTACGATTCACTTCAAAGCTGGAAGAGATACTGAAAGACTTAAGAAAGAGTGGGAATTTAAGTCAAAACAAAGAAGGTAATTTTCTTGCACAACTTCAAGCGAGTTCTATTCCATGAATAGTCAGGCTACACTTGTGTTTACTTCATCCTTTTGTAACGTTAAATTTGAATCTTCACCAGTCACAGAATCATTTACCTTCTTATTTTTCTTTCTTAAATTATAAATTCATTGTTGATAAGATAGTAAAATAAAAAAAGTAAATATTTACACGCACATATTTTTATGCTTTTAAATAATTTAATCTCACACAAAATGTACTAAAATGTGAAATTTAATGCAACAAGAATCAAAATCGTACAATTTAAACCAAAAACGGCAAAACATGCAATTTCGTGCAATATAAAATTTAAATATGTTATTCTACAGATCCTCAAACGGATAGATGTTTGGGTCCAGGGTTTTCACACACAAGCAAATAAAATGTGCAATAACATAGAAATCCGGTCTCTATCACTATGTCAACTCAAAATTTTTATTCTATAATTTATTTTGCCAGAAATTATATGTGTCGTAATTCAAACGTTATGCTCGTAATAGTATTTATACCCAAGATTTTAGCCCAAGTTCTCAGAAAAAACAATTTTGGATATTCTACTAATAAAGGAATACAGTAGAAATTTTTTTGTGACTTATGCCAAAATGCCCATCCTTTATATGTTACCATTGCCAGTTTACCTAACATCTGCTTTTCACTCAATAAGGTGTGGAGAGATACCTTCATAAACATTAGTGTTTTTTAAACTCCAATCCATATCTTTCATTTTCTTAATCACAATTAAGTAAACTTTTAAATTTCTTCCTAAATAATTAACCATGGAGTGAATATATTTCTGTAAAAATTACAAAAGTTTATATGTTAACTGAATGTTTTAAAATTTATGTTTTACCAATGTGAAATGATCATAGTTCTAAAAACTTGAATTTCTTGATTATTTATAATTATTCAATATTTCATGTTGAGATTTAGTGTGCAATTGTGGTGCTACCTGTTTGGTATTTAGAGAGGTAAAATACCTGTTATTTTATGATGGTATTTTGTGCCATCACATAAATAATCAGTATTAATCAGAAAATAATAACTGTTTGTAATAATTAATCCTTATCGATATTAAAGATTAAAACAAAAATAGTATATATCTAAATTTACACATATCGTAGAACACATATTAATCAATTAAGACGTCATACCATAAGATGTGTTACTGGATTTCTCTTCTGAGTGTGGATGAAACTAGGAAATAGAATTGGATCCCTTATGAAGAAGATGGGGGTATTGTTACCAACCACATCCCAGATACCATCTTCAGCATAGAATTTAACAGCAAAACCTCGAGGGTCTCTGATAACAAGATTTATAATTTGAGGTAAATATATTTTCAAAAGGAAGAAAAAAATAACAATTATTCAATAAAATATTTTTATTATCTAAAATTAATTCTTCTTTCATAAAAAAAAAAAGGCTGAAACATGTCAGAAATTGTTCATTATCCTCAGTGTAAAAACTGGTAAAAAGTCATGAAATTTTCCATATCAGACAATGTGGGGAGGAGGTGAAGGTCAGAAAACAATTTTTTTTTTTTTTTAGTGTTTGTGAATATCTTAAAAACTATGAGGTTGATTAAAAATATTATCTGATACAAAATTAAAGTCCTTCAAAATTTCTATAAAAATTATTATATATAATAATCATAAAAGTAATAGGACATAAAAATAACATATATACATTGTTTTTTTTAATATCGATAGAAACAGTGCTTGACATGGAAATATTTCACCTTACTATATCAGCAGATCCATTATAGAAAATCGCAAATCTCACAAGGAAGCGATAACTGCACCATATTGGTACTAACAGAGGATTGTTGTTCATTTACTGTAGGAGATTATTGGTTATTCATGAAAATAATATTAGTTTCATGTAAATACTGTAAGGCGTTCTCTTAACTTAAACTGTAAAATTTATTGAAACCCTGCTTGAGACAGAAATATACCTTGCTGTATCAGCAGATCCACTTTCACAGCTTACAGTAGAGAAACGGACTCCAATTGGTGTCCTTTTTCCAATTTGACTGAAGACAGAAAGTTTAGTGTACTTTGTCACATCATGAATAACTTCAAAATATCCAAAAGCACCTGAATGAAAAATACAAATATTATATTCAATAAGCATAATTTAAATAGAACATATCTTTAAGAGGACTCATGGTTACAGGCAGGGCAGTTAATGAAAATGCAATTTTTCACACGTTTTTCATAAATGAAAATATTTTTATTTTGATTATTTTTTGATGTTATTATGCCTAAGAACAAGCCTACCTACTTACCAAATTTCAGCTTATTTCATCTGAAGGGAGCAGCAGGAGATACTGAAATGCATTGGAGAAATATATATATATATATATATATATATATATATATATATATATATATATATATATATATATATATATATATATAAACCAGGTTTATATCAGAATTTAATTCATTAGAGTTTTAGCACAGCGTTAATATTTGTCTTCGCTTCCTTGTAGGCTATACGGAGTTTTTTGCCGAGACAGGGGAGTAGTTGGGAGAATTATGGCTTTTAAAAGTCCCTGGTGGCACCAGGATTTGAATTCGTAATCTTCGGTAAGTCAGGTTGTCGTGGCAACGCGTATTTAAACTCTCGTTAGCCCGCTCGGCCTCTCCGTCTCCCCCAGACACAGCTATGATCATTTATATCCAGCAATATTTGTTCCCCCTAAGATTTTATTCATCCAATAGCGTCTACTGTCTCTTTGGTCGAGGATTCATCCTCCAACAAAACTTACCACTATTGTTATTTAATGTGCAATCTTTTTCACATAGTTATATTCCCACTTTGATACTCTGTCGGTTCGAGTCTGACCTGGGCGGGTTGAAGTTTATTTAGTAGCGGACCCACGAAATGATTCCCGACCTTCTCCTTCTGGTAATAACAGGTTCGGTTGTACCTCCAGAACAACCTCCCTCTCTTCCCCCCTTCTTCGTATTTGGGGAATTAATGATTATATAATTAATAAAAATTGGGAAGTTAATAAAGATGTCCACTTTAGAGATTTGTCGTTCTCTGTGGTACGGATCATTTTAGTGAACGGTGAACGATTTCTAAGGAACAATCGTTCACTTAGTCTTTCCGTTCGCTCCATCTTATCGCTCCTCTTTGTCTTAAAAACTTCAAATTTGGAAGAAAGGTGATTTTATGTTTCAAAAAAGATTTTAAATATCATTAATTTTATGGACTATGGGTGGAATTTTTTCATATAATTTATCATATTTCCAAAAATAATTTTCTTTTATCGTCGAGGACGATCCATTGAATCCACAGACCTCTTATTAGAGCATTTTTTTTTTTTTTTTTTTACTTTTATTAACAATGAGGACTCCCAAATTCTTTGTCATCACTGTCCATTGACAACCATCCGATCTCTTTCTCCAACTCTGTCGAGTACCTCGCAATGACAATTGATCGAACACTTAATTAGGCTCAAAATATTAAACGATTAAAATCCAATTGTCTTCGCTCTTTGATGAACCTTTTAAAAACGATAAGTAATATGGGGTACCGATTGAAAAAGCATGTTGTCTCTATATACATCATTTATAAGATCAAAGTTAGATTATGGTTGCAATATGTACGACATGGCTTCAGATAACGTTGTAAAAATGCCGAATCCCATTCAGAACACAGGTCTCAAAATAGCTACTGGTGTTTTTCGCTCCATCACCAATATCTTATGTGTCGAAGCTGAAAAACCTCCGTCAGACATAAGACGACTACAAGTTGATTTCATCTACTTTACTTAAATCCGGTCTGCTTCCAGCTATGGCTTTGACTTATATATTCCCAAATAGACAGCATGTAACCCAATAACAAACTGCCTTCATAGTCCGAGTTTCATTTTTATTACTTGACCTAAATCTTGAAATACCTACCTTTCATGAAACCTGTGAATATCGCCAATTTAACCTTGGGGACTTCCCACTCCAAAATCTGTCTTTCACTCACAAAACTACAAGACATACTACAGACTATAAGATATAATAGGGGATACTGACTATTTCTACACGGATAGATCCAAGAACACCACAGGTGTGGGAGCCTCTTTTGTGTGTAATGGTCGACATTTTTCTCCATCATCCATCTGTATCAATTATACCGCTGAAAAGATTGCAATTTACAGAAGTTTAAGCCTGAAGACCTATACAGATTCATTGTCCGCCCTACTTAGCGTCAGGAATTCATTCTGGACCAAACATATCATACAAAATATTTTATTTTCATTAATGACAGCCAACAGAAGTAATAATTCAGTAAGCCTGGGCCCCTGGTCATTGCGGTATAACCGGAAATGAGCTGGCTGATACGGCAGCCAAAGAAGCAATAACTGATGGCATTCCATCGGTGGGTCCCTGTCGAAGACTTTATCAACATCATTGAACAAAGAATAAAATTAAAATGGGAACAAAGATGGTCAGCTGTCTCAGAAAATAAATTGAGAGAAGTTAAAATTAATGTGTCTACATGGGAGTCTTTATTTCGAAATAGGGGGAGAGAAGAGGTAGTTCTGACACGATTAGGTATAGACCACACACGCCTGACACACGGTTACCTGATGGCCCTCGAATCTCCAACTGAATGTCAGACCTGAGGGTGTCCACTGGCAAAGATGATCGATAAACTTTTTGAGTTTCTAAAACAAACGAAAATATATTCTAAAATCTAGAATTAAACCAGTGATGAGAGGCGATAATGACCATAGTTAGTGGTTGACCTTTTTATTACACAAATACTTTGTACATTGTTTATTGCAATAAGTACATTGTTTATTTTTTCTGTAATCACTACATTATCCGCAAAGGCTAAGTCTTGGGTCAATCTGTGGTATACACGTCCTCCGAAACTTGTGCAGTTCGATCTCATTACAATTTTTAATATCAAGTTGGATAGTATTAGGGAAAGGATTTGACACCTTTTTTAAAGTCAAATTCTTTTGAAATTTCATTTGAATTTTAACCATACCATTACTTGAGGCATGGTGCAGGTTACTTTTAACAAGCCTGATAAGCTTCAGCGAACATATCCAAAAAGATCATGTTTGAGAGAGTACATTTCATATACTCAAATAGAATTGTTAATATTCAATAACATCACAATGTTGATCGGCATCCCATGCATGGATTTCTTGAGCATTATAATTTGTGGTCTATTGCAGACCTTCCCAGTGTTGGGCAAAAATTATCTATAGCTAACAGATAAGAGATAACAGCTAAATTAGCTATTAGCGGGAAGATAATTCTGCAACTAAATTAGCTATTAGCGGGACCAAGAAGCTAACTTTTAGCGTAAGTTAACTCTTAGCTTGTCTTAACGCTAACCGCTAATTATCTTTATCTGTAACTTCAACAAAAAGCTAATAGCTAACTCTTCGGATTTCATTGGTCTTAGAGTCGACTATGACGTTTTGAAGGGCGACTTCTATGAAAATAGTGTCGGATTTTAGATAGTGCCCCCCGGGCACCGAATTTTTGTAACGTCTCTGATTTAATCGATATATGGGTCAACTATTAGGTTTTCGGGGGCGATTTTTATGAAAATAATGTCGGATTTTAGATAGTGCCCCCGGGTACCGACTTTTTGTAACTTTTCTGATTTCATCAATATATTGTTCGACTATTAGGTTTTCGGGGGCGCTTTTTATAAACATGATGTCGAATTTGATATAGTGACCCCCGGACACCGACTTTTTTGTAACTTTTCTGATTTTATCGATATATGGGTCGACTATTAGGTTTTCGGGGGCGCATTTTATAAAAATAATGTCGGATTTTAGGTGTGTCAATGGATAGGTAATTAGATTTTATGAAAAATAAATATCAACATTTTAGGAAAAAAATTGTTTATATTAGAATATAATTTTACATAAGTGAATGCAAAATGTGATATTATTTGTAAAATTCATGTACAAAGAAAATAGCTAAGCATACTACAATAAATAAAAAATAAATATATATACATATTATTAGAAATATTTTAGTAAATACACAAAATTGTATTGTAAATACATATGTAAATTAATCAGAACAAAAATAAACATAAACATTTCCAAGAAAAAAATTGATAAAAATTTAAATAAAGCATCAAGAAGAGAATAAATAACTAATAAGCTATTGCGCTTCAATAAATTCAGCTTGTTAGGTTACATAATTTAAAAAAAAAACTAATAAAGTATTAATCGTTAAAAACAAAATCGTTGCCTTTTAACAATACTCTTATTTCAAAATTGTTATCTGTCAAACGATTTGCTTTCGGCCTGTTAGTAAGAGTAGCATACGAAAAAAGTCTCTCCACTGGTGCTGAGGAAGGAAGGGGGGTGTTATACTTAATGAACACTTTCTTTATAGCTGGGAAATATTCCAAACTTGTAACATCTGTTAAAGTACAGCCAAAGTAATTGGATATTTGAATTTCCGCTTTTGCTTCTCTATCATCAGTGACGGACAGTTCATCATTTGCTCCAAAATCAAAGAAATTCATGTAGGAAGGAGTTGTTTCTCGTTTCCCCTGTGCCGATAACAAAGTTGTGTTTTCATTAGTTGTACTTAGTATTTCTTTGAATACAGCTGTTTTGAACAGTAGCAATATTTTATCCTGAAATTGGACATCTAAACAAGGTAGCCACTTTATTTTGAATGAAGGATGGGATACCGCTGCTACTGCTGCGCATTCTGCCGTTGTAGAGGACAAGCTGAAAAATTCATAGAATCTTTTTTCCACGCTCGATGAATATATCTCCACAAATGGAGCGCAATACAGCCACGATCTATCCCTGAGGAATTGAATTTTTCTTCGTAGCGCTACTAGTCCAGGAAGGAGCATCCCAAAGAAAATATTTTTTTCGCCCTGAAGAATATCTATTAAAGAGGCTAGTGGTTCCGAGCATTGTAAATATTCATTGATGTATAAGAAGTCCTCTTCCATCAGTTGTTCGCAGCTTTTAATTTTTAAATGTATGTTGAGATGATGAATTTTATCTTTTATTTTGCATATCTGCTTAAGAGAATCGAATAATGAATTCCATCTTGTTTTATCTGGTCTTGATAGAATGTGACCTAATGTTTCTTGAATTATTTCAGCCGTCTTTGGCCTGGATGCAAAATTCCATAAGACACTGCACTTATTCAATACACGCCTGTGGCATTCACCTAATGTTGAATGATTTGTAAGTCCATTATATACATCAAAAGTTGCACACAAGTGTAATGTGTGTGACATTGAACGATAATGATTTGGTAAAGTTTTCATCATTTCTTGAATAAAATATGTGTTTGTTAATAATGTTGGGGTAGAACCACTGCCGATATCTTCGATAATATCATCATCTTCAGAATCTGTTGAGCTTTGGTCAATATTGTCATTGTCAGAGAAAATATGTGGTCCATTTTCGCAGGTCGAATCGATTACATTTGGGTCTATACCGAAAGTTTTGAATGCCTTAACAAAATCTGAGGCATTGTCTGTAACGGTAGCCACTATCTTTGGACATGTTAAGCCGAAATCACAATGAATGTTTTGGAGCAGAGAGGCTATTCTGTCATAGGTATGGGTTTTTGTTAATCTTTTGCATGCCAAAGCAGCAGATTTTCTTTGGTAATCCCGATCTATCCAGTGGCCCGTAACACCCAAGAAACTTTTGTGCCTACCAGACCAAATATCTGCAGATGTACAAATGTAATCGATTTTTTCCAATTGAGTCCTAATATTTTTGTTATTTTGTTCAAATAACTCTTGTACTTTTTTTACAATAGATCGCCTGGAAGGAAGTCGAAGTCCAATTTGTTCTATGCCAAGGTCTTTCATAATTTCTTTGAAATATTTGTCTTCAATGGCTCTAAAGGGTATCATTGAATGAACAACGAATTTGGACATTTTTACTTCCAAATCTTCTTGGGTAAGATTTTTTACTTCTGATAAACTATTATTTCTTTGTTCTTCCGTTAAGTTAAAATTATTTACCTTTTTACCACACCGCTGCCGCTTTTCTTCTAAATATCTTTTGTAGTTTGTAAAGGTTTCCTCACCATGTTTCCTTTTCAAATGAGATATAAAATTATGGCTAGATTGAGGAGCTCCTTTGACTTCTGTTTTACATATTTGGCAAGTAGCGGTATAATTATATTTTGTGGACTTACTTTGAATGAACTTATAAAACTTTCCATCTAAGATGGTCAACGATGGCTTGAGTTCAGAAGTAACTGTTAGATCGCTTCCACTTTCAAACGTACCAACTATATCTTTATGCTCAATCACACAACTAAATGAGAGCCCTCCGGTTTTTGACGATGAAGACACATTATACAATCCACCATCATATGTATTGGCCAAATCCACCTTGTTCTGAACAATGTTTTCTGCCATGGTGAATATAAAATCTATGAAAGAGTTCACAATCCTAGAAATCACGCCTTATAATTAAAAACAATTAACAAAGAGTAACTAAAAACAAAATTTTAACAATAACTCACAAATTAATTTATAATAAAACACTGCAGAAACATCCAAATAACAAAGTAATAAGCTACAGGTTATTAGCGATAACTAAAACTGAAGTTAGTAAGTTCCAGTGTTGCCACGCGCTCCCTGGCCAATTCTCATGTCAGTGTTGCCGCACGCTCTTTAAAAAATTCGTAGGCTAAATATTATTGTTTTCTCTTAGACAAATTATATCAGATCTTTGATTATTTGTTCACCACTTATGTTTTAAAACCTATTAACATTCCTTTATTTTGTTAATGGATCAAGAATTAAAATTAATTTAATTTAATTTACGAAATAAGTTTAATAAAACACATATAAAGGTATTTTTAGAAATTATTGGAAACTTTCTATAAAAATTAAAATAGCAAAATAAACCTTTTAAAGGAATAAATATTCCTATGATCATTTAAAATAAAGGGAAACGCATTATTAATTACGTATTTAATTTTTTTACTCTACTAACCAAAAATTGAAAATATTTTTTTTAAAATGACGCTAACAATTTTTTTTTTCTTGAATTTTATTGATCTGGAAAATTAAATTATAAAGGAAATAAAATCATACTCTATAGTTTCTTTATTTTTTGTATAATCGATAAAAATCTAAAATATTTTTTAAAATTACGCTAACAATATTTTTGTTTATGTCGAAAATTAAAATAAAATTTTATATACACAGTTTTTTATGAATGAAATAACAACGATGCCCTAATCATCTATAAACCTACAAAAGTATTACACATTAATATAAATAATAACACAGTAAAAATAATTGTACGCAAATCTAAACTTTATTCATAAAAATATAACTTTGCAAACGTAAGAAAACATCTAGCTAGTCGATCGTAGAGGATCCCCGCTCTAGGGGAGCCCCGAGGGGAGGGGGAGAGACTCTAAAACTATTGATCTATAATTTTCTAGTACCCCAAAAATAAATATTTTTTATTCGTTTATTTCTACAAATGTTTAGGGCCCCTCCGATGGTTTCCCAACAGTAATGTTTTGTGCTTTTTATCGCCCGAGAATGATTAGAGAGTCTGATATCAATTAATCCGAAAAGTTAAGGAAATATCATACGCGATGGCGGAATCCAAAATCCGACATTATTTTCATAAAAAGCGCCCCAAAACATTAAATTCGACCATAACATCATTTAAATCCGAAAATTAAAAAAAACTTCATACGCGATGGAGGAATCTCAAATCCGACATTATTTTCATAGAGAGCGCCCCCGACAACATAAAATTTGACCCTAATATCAATTAAATCTGTAAAGATAAAAAAACAAGATACGGGATAGCGGAATTCCTAATCCGATATTATTCTAATCAAAAGCACACCCAACAAGAATTAAATTCGACGTCAGTATCAATTAAATCCGAAAAGTTAAAAAAACGTCGGTGACCGGTAGGGGGAGGGGTCACACCTAAAATCCGACATTATTTTCATAAAAAGCGCCCCCCAAAACCTAATAGTCGACCCATGTATCAATTAAAAGTTACGAAAAGTCGGTACCCGGGCTCACCATCTAAAATCCGATAGAATTTTCATAAAAAGCGCCCCTGATTACATAACAGTGGATCCTAATATCAATTAATGAAATGAAATAAATAAATTTTCCTCAAGTGTTAGCGTTAAGTTAGCTTTTAGTTAAGTTAATAGTTAATTTAGCTTAAGCAAAAAGTTAGCGGTTCGTTTCCGCTAAAAGCTAATTTAGCGGTAAAGTTAACTGCGCTAAAACAGTTAGAAGCTAAATTAATTTCATATTTAGCGCCGCTAATTTTAACTTTTTAGCGGTACGTTAGCTAGTTAAAAATTAGCTCGCTAACGCCCAACTCTGGACCTTCCAGGGTGGGATCCACATTAGTATTCGCCTAACACCTCTTCGGCTATCTCTACGATTCGCTTAATCAGCAAAATTGGTAAAACCTTTTTGACTTTTAGCAATCCAGCCTGTTCCCAATTTATATATTGGTATAATAAGAGCCTTATGCTATTATTTTAGTATTTCCTCTTTCATCCAAATCTCAAACAGGTTCATATATTTCTTTATGCAGTGCCTCTCTGCCTCATTTGAGTGATTGTGCTGAGATTCCATGAATTTCTGGCACTTTGATATTTTTAGGTTCATAATTAATTCTTCTACTTTTTCCCGATCTGGAGGTTTCAGGTGTGTATCTTCTCCGTTGTTTCATCCAGATTTTGAATAGAGATTATCATCATTCAGAAGTAGAATACTGGGTTTAACATCACTTATTATTCCATTTATTTGTCTGTTTTAAGTGGTAACGATATAGCAATTAAACAATGCAAACAATTCAATCTTACCCGCTCCTTTTGCATGAACAACTCTTTCTGGAATTCTTTCACGACCGAAATGAGCGAGTTCATCGATTAGAGCAAAATCCTGTATCAGAATTGGACCCCTCTTTCCAACAGTGAGGCTAGCAGTTTTAGTGTTAACCGGATTCCCAGAGCTAGTAGTCAAAATGTCTAATGTCTGAAAAGAAATAACAATAGTTATTTTTCTCTCTATTATATAAAAAAGTTTATAATGTCTTATTTTATTTTAGACCGTAACGAAGACTACACATTTCTTATTACCAACGAATTTAACACACTAATCAAAGAATATAAATAAACAATATTCCAACAAACATTGAAATCGCAAACTATACACAATATTTACAATAAAAGCAGACTAACACAATTCGAATGGGGATACCCCCTAGTTATAATAAAAATAGTCAATTATATTATTTAATTAATAATAATAAGAAGAATTGGAAAATATTGAATTGCTTGTATCCCAATATATATATATATATATATATAAAATATGATAAATATAGTCAACTAAAGAAAAAGAACATTAGTAATGAAAACGTCATATTTAGAAACTTGATGTAATTACGTTCAGGTGATGTTTAGATTTTTTTTAGATCCAAGCAAGATACTCTGAAATGAGGCTATTCAAAGTCCAAAAGAACTTGTAACACAATAAAAGTTCAAGGCCTAAAAATAATTCTTCAAATGAATCTAATGACACCTTTAAGTGAAAATATGGGGTATTCCAGTGGTAATGCGATGATCCTAGGTCAAATTTGTTTTTATTCAACAGATATATTTGGGAGAGGAACTAAATTTTAAATCTGATCAACAGTTTATAGGTTATATAATTTTTTTTTTTGTTTATTTAATGAAATTTACAACTGTATACAAATACAACTAGTAAGTATGTGCAAATGTTTATATAATAAAATCGTTAATTCAAATTCTCTCACATTAGTTTTTGTAATTGATTACAACAATGAAAGCAAAGTAATATTTATGAGATAATGATACGGCATATTTTAGATTATAAATAATTTATTAATTCGCTATAATTATAATTCGTGACAGTATGAAAACACTGTCTGGTAATACAAAGAAATAATATTTTCTATATATTTTATATAAGAAATTTCTCTTACAGTAAATATTCTACCAAAACGTTCAGAACTATATGACAACGTGTTGGCTCTCTATGTCCATTTAAGTCCACGTAATGCTCTAACTGGGGTTAAAGTTACTTTGAGCTTGTTTTTCCTCTAATATCTAAATATATCGGATTTTCTTTACGGGATAACAAGTAGTGTAGCTCTGGTAATATATCATATTTAATAAACCTAGTGTCCTTCATTATCTTAAGTATTTAAAGGGCTCTTTAGGACTTTTAGGACTACAGACGCCAGAACAGGAATAATATAGCCATCTATATATTGCATTACTATCAGTTTTATTTGTACCAGATTTCAGTTTGGTTGGATACTCTGATGTAAGTTTAAATTGTATCATAAGATTGGACCTGTGGTAGCAAAGTTAACGGGAAAAGGCTTTTATCACCGTTATTCAAAATATCTGAGTCATTCTACATTTATAATTACCCCAACTCCTACATGTATTGAATAATACATTTCTAAGAGATCTTAAGATCGTAAAAATATATCGAATTAATGATTCGATATATCAAAAAAAAAATCAATATTTTTAATCTTTGAAAGAGTAGAGAGAGAGAGAGAGAGAGAGAGAGAGAGAGAGAGAGATTAAAAATATATACATGAATAAAAAATATCGATATTTCGTGGGGCGATATTTTTATTATTCGAAAGATAAGAAAGAATGTGAATTTTATATCGAAAACTTAAATTTGTAATAGCTTTAATTCTAGTAATTAAATATTTATACATTTCTTAATAAATAAAAATGCCTTCTCGATCTTCTGTCCCGCAAGTATCCTTTATTTTAATTCACATCTACGTTTCGGCCAATATAATCTTAAAGAGGACTTTTAAATTATATAAAATAGATTGTTTAAAATTATTTTATATGTAAGAGAAGCAAAAATGAGAAATATAATAGCAAATTCTAAAGAACCCTTCCTCCCTCCCTGCACCTTCTATTAAACTTAAAATATCTCTAGACGTAAAAAAGGGTTTGAATTAATAAAGAAAGTACTTTTAAAAGGTCAGAAAAAAAATAATAATAAGGTTTTAGTTATTTAAATTATTTAAAGAAAATTGAGTGTTTTAGATCCATTAATCTATGTTTTAAGTTTTTAATCATTTCTTAAATTTTAAATGTAATTTTATTTTTTTTTAATAAAGTTAATTTTTTAAATACATTAACAATTGTCTCTATTCGACAATAGGAAATAGACAGTAAACAAATTTAAATTGTTTTTCATGTAAAAGACATTTGTGATAATTAGAATAGTAAGTAATTTTTATGGATTGTAAAATTCTTTTTAAAGATAAATAGAGATTTGTGTAAAAGGTTATTTACTAAACGAATTGTATATAAAAAAGCTTTTTTTTTTCAGATAAGCTGAAGATGGCCAATGGTCGAATCTCACATGTGAATTAAAATTACAATATAAAGATGGAGCTGAAGATCGAAAAGGCTTTTTTATTTATTAACATACGTATTAATAGAGACTGGATTTCCATGTTATTCGCTTGCCTATACAAATTTCGGATCCGAATATATATCCGTTTCACGATCTGTAGAATTAAATGACATATTTAAATTGAAATTGCAAGAAATTACACGTTTTCCCGTTTTTGATAACTTAACTTAACTTGCACGATTTTGATATTTGTTGCATTAAAGTACACATTTGTGATAAATTATATGATTAGATGAGGTATTGGATAGTAAAAAGCTGCTTTCCTGGAATAAGTTGTTTGTTAGAAAGACATTGTTATTGTTTTGACCAGAATTGTCACTTATTTCTTCAGCCTTCCAGTATTCCTTCTGGCTTAGTATCGGTTTGTAGTAATTTCATTATTACATAAAAAAAAAAAAAAAATTGAAAATCTCTGCCTGTTAGTATCTCGTCAAAAATTGTAATCAGGATATAAATATTTAATATAAATATGTCATGATATCCCGAGTTTGATAAAAAGATTTAATTAAGAAAGTTCTGTACGACTCATGAAAAATCAATCGGGTGATAGGAAATCACTGATAGACACTGTTGTAGAGCAGATCAGAAATAATATATTCCTATCAAAGAATTGAACTTTTTTTTAGAAATTTTTAGAAAGAACATTTTTATTTAGTAATTTAAAACAACAGCTTCAACTCTAATAATTGATCATTTGAAAATCTCAAATATTACAGTGTACTCCTAAAGTTTCTTAAGAATACTTTAAATTAATATAAAAGTTTTATAGTATATAATATTGGAAATTTCAACTCGATTGAAAAATAAAGTTTTCATTATTATTTCTAGTAAAAGATGAATATCTAAAATTAGTCTGGTCTATATATATTGGTCTATATAGGTATCTATAATTACTTCATTCAAAATCTGACTGTCCGGCAGCAAAAAATATACAAAGGTGTTTAGAAATAAAAAAATACCTTTTGTTTCGACTTGTACTCATTCAACTGTTCTTCTGAAGATTCACGAGGCATCTTCAACGATTGCTTCGAGTTAACGTACACAGCTCGAATTCTCAGTGTAGAATGAAGCGGTCCCTGAACCATTAATATCACGAAACCAGGAGTAGGGGAGAAACGTTTGTTTCATATTTTTTCATAAATATCCCTTTTTCGAACATATAAATAATTAATTAATGTGATACATTAATTAATGTATCTACTACAATTAATCCGAAAGCTTGTATTACTGAGGTAGTTACTTAGTACCGTAATCGACATTCTGGGTAAAGTTTACATTAGAGGCATACCCTGTTATAAATTAAAAGTGTTTACAACTTGCAGCTTCAATATAGTGAAAAAAGAATAAGAACTTACGTTAAAGTAAAATACATAATTCAAGAAAACAACAGTGCAGAATACTTATTGTGTGACCCCTAGATGTACTTTTTTTTGCACTAACACTAATACGCGATCACAATATAGAGCTTTGAAAAATTCGTCCTTTTAGAGTTATTTTTATATTATTTTTTTTACTTAATTAATGAATATCTAATTTAGCAGCCAGAAGGCACCTTCCATTTCAGTCTCATATTGTTATTGGCGTCTGAAAAGAAGATGGCCTCGAGATCTCTTATTGTAAATACATTTTGTTTTTAGAGTGCTACCAGTGAGTAGTTTCTCAACAAGTGATTTCATGTTATTAATTTCTGTTATCAAATTTACTTAATGTATTTTATTTATTAATACAGTTGTAAATATCATGAATAAATAAAAAAAAATATTTTTAATGAATCTTTTGTAGGAGATTATGAATAGTTTCTTAGAATACGTTTAGAACTTTAATATAAATAAACAAGAATTGTTTGACAATAACTTTTAGCAATGAAAAATTAAGAATTTTTTTTTATATTTTAGTGAAGTCCTTAAATAATCATGAAGAATTGGTCATACGAACACGTTTCATGTACCTCTAAAAAATAATCATCAACTGTTACCTATCCTATATTGTTTGTATTTTACGGAATTTTGTCCCCAACAAGAGGCTTTCGTTTCCCTGTGCGGCGAGTGTCTGATAAAACAAAACAAAAAAATATATAAAAAAATAGCTGAGGTCCCTTCATCTTCTATAACCCACCCCTGTTGTCCGGTAAGCTCGACTTTTTGACTCCACATTTTTATTTTTATATTTAATAATTTAATATCTGACAAAATAATTCTTAAGTTCTTCCTGAATTAAAAAGTAATAGAGAACTCCAAGAACTGCATAAAGAACCAGAAATGTTACATATTAAATCAAGCCATATAAGATGGCATGGACAAGTAGAAAAGATGGGTGAAGATAGATATCTGAAAAGACTAAACCAGGAGGAGAGGAAGGCCCAGATTGAGATGGATTGATGATATGGAAGATGATTTTCAGAAGATTTGAATTGTACAATGGACCGCTGATAGGAAGGATTGGAGAGGCGTTGTGGATACCAAGGTCCTACAAGGACAGCAGAGCCACGGAAGTAAGTAATAAAATTCCTTCATTCCACCTCCTGCTAATTTGTAGTGTTCCTCCGGGATCTTTCTGATTCCATTCATCATTCACAATACTACTTATATGCCGATGACCAAAAAATCTACTATCCTATTCATTTTACTGAGATTCTTCAGACAGTCTATTGGCTACAAGAAGATATAGACAGTACAAACACTTGGGCACCAAGCAATGATTTGAGGAGACAAAAGCCATTTTCATTGGTTCCAAGTATATCTTCTTAATTGTAATCCTTATTATCCTGTACTCAACATTAATGCCATTTTACCAACATTAATCCTATTGCCGTCAGTACTTCCTAGCCACCTTTCTGTACCAAATCATTAGAACTCATCAACCCTCCTACATTTTTCACAGCTTACAATTCAAATACTCCATCCAATCTCGTCCCACTAGATCTCGTACTTCTGACCTCTATCCTCCTCCTCACCGAACTGCTGCGTTTGACAAATCCTTTGCAATACAATACGCCTCCCTCTGGAATTCCATCCTTGCTGATATTCGACACTCTCAATCAGTTTCCTCTTTCAAACCTCTCCTCTTTAAACACCTACTCCTTTCTCAATCCGACTGATTGCGAAATATACTTAAGGGAAATATCTAAGCATCCCCAGAGACTGCCTCAATTTATTTAGGTTATTTTAGTTTCTCATATATATGTACAATTTTCTTGTTCTTTTCTTTCTCTTCTTCAGTATTTTTATTTTTAGTCAACTTTTATTGTAAATATATAATATAATTGTAACCACACAGACATATAATCTGTATTTATAATTTGTTCTAAAGGGACACCAGTCCCAGAATAATAAAATATTTTTTCATTTCATTTCATTAAATACGGAGAAGACAAAAGCCATCTTGAATCTCAAATCCATTTCAGTACCTCCCAACCTACTCCTAAAGAACTCACCTATCTCCTTCCATACTACTGTTAAAAACTTTGGTGTTACCTTCGATCAAACCCTCTCCTGGAAACCACACATCTTCCAAATTTCACTCCGTACTATTTCCACCCTGAAACAGTTTAACCATCTACGTTATCTTCTTCCATTCAAAACCCGTCAACTCCTGGTTACATCTCTTGTTTTCCCCCACTTTGACTATGGCTGTATGGTGAATGGTGGACTCTCAGGAGAACTCGAAGCTAAACCTAAACGTCTAATGAATTGCTCAATACACTTTATTTTTGGGATCTTAATGGATACACATATTACCCAGTTTTACACAGAGTTGAAGTTGCTTCATCCATTCTACCGCTGTCAGTATTTCCTTGCTACCTTCATATACCAGGCTATTAGAACTCAGTTACCCCCCTATATTCTATAGATCCTACAATTCAAATGCTCTTTTCCATCCCGTCCCACCAGATCCCATACGTCCAACTTCAATTCTACTCCCCACCCAACTGCTGCATTTGACAAATCCTTTTTAATTCAAGCTGTCTCCCTCTGGAATTCTATCCCTTCTGATATTTGACATGCAGAGTCAGTATCCTCTTTCAAATTTCTCCTCTTCAAACACAAAATTATTCCATTCCCAATCCGATTGATCATGAAATGCACTTAATAATCTAAGTCGTAAGAATCTCTAAGTACCCATCCTCCCCCCAGATACTTCGATTATTTTGTGATTTATTGATATTTTATTTTTTTTACTTTCTCTGTTTATTTTATATTTATGTACATTTTTATATATTTTCATTATCTGCACTTTTATTTTATTACCAATCATTCTGTAAATATATAATTATTTTTTATGGAGACACCAGAATGTTAATATGTATTCTGTATTTATAATTTGTTCTAAAGGAACACTAGTCCCAGAATAATAAAATTATTTTCATTCATTAATTCATTCAATATAGCCCAGGTCAATTTCTTCCCTATATTTTAACAACCAAAAAACCTTCTTATCATGATTTATTTACTCCCCGTTTCTCTAATCATTCTTTGATGCCACCTACAAACTTGTATATTCCTTATTATAGAACTGTTTCCTTAGAACATCCTGTATCATGCATTCCACCTTGTTTTGGAATCCTTATCCACCTCATCTTTAACTTCCTTTAAACATAAATTATTTTAACATCACCTCATTAATCTTGTGAGTATCCACAAGAAAGAATTAAATTTTTGTGTTTCAGTGTTATCTATATTGCTTGGGACCAGCATAGCAGAGTGGTAAGCGCTCTTTACTAGTTAAGTAAAGATCATAGGATCGAATCCTGGCCCTACTTCCCACGGGAAGTTAGACCATTACCCTCTTAATTAGGGGAGGCCTACAGCTTGCAAAATACTTGTAATAACAGGCTAGGAAAAAAAAAATCTATAATGCTTACCAATGCAAATATCTATACATATGTTACTGATATTGATTTATTTATAATTTCATCATTTTATTTGTTTATTTATGGTAGTCCTTTTTTAAAATTATTATAATAAGATTACATAAGTCTGTTATTTAATTAATTCTTGACTGTTATTTTGTGTCAGAAAAATGTCATTTTTCTTGTTCATCTTCATTATTCTAAGGGAGATAAATGTCTAAGAATAATTTATTTTTATTCTATTAGCTGATTACTTCACCTATTTCCAAAAGTAAATAAAGTTTTTCTAATGAAATCAAGCCTGAGATTCTGTATAGGACATGTTCAGGTAAATATATATTGTATAGAATTTATTTACTGCACAAAACATAAACGTAGTTTTTATAAATTAAAAAAACAAAATAGAGAATGAAAAATAATAACAACAATAAAAACTATAACAACAAAAATGTATTAACATGTAACAAGTAAGACAACATAATAATAGGTTATGATACAATTATACCTCTAAAAATTATAATTTCTTGTTTTGATTTTTTTACAGTAAAAAAGTTTAAAAAAATATGTTGTATAAACAAAAGCCAGTGACTTATAAATGTGGTTTAGCAGCCCTAGTTTGTTGCGATAAAGCCTCCTTTAAAAGTTTTCCAAACTCTTCATCCACTTTGGAAAAGTTCTTGAGAGCTCTTTCCTATATAAGAAAAGAAAAAAACTTATATGTATATATGAAAAAAAGAAGAAGAAAAATGTCTTTGCAATCAATTAAAATAATACCTGAATGAAATCTGCAGCATCTTTCAGATTTCCAGAAATGTTCTCTATTAACCTCTTCCTTTCTTCTGCCTTAAGGGTCTTCCTATAGAAGAGGGTGGCCTGGGAGAAGTTGTCCTCATCACCAGACTCATGTCTGAAAACATTTTCGAAGATATATTACAATTCTGTAATTTTTTTTTGGTTTATACAATAGACCATAAAACTTTTGGCCGTACAATGCTGTATTCTTAAAAACATCTACAGGTACTTAGAAGAGGGACAGCTAATCTCATGTTGCTACGAAATCAAGATTTTCATGGTGCAATAGCAGGTTACCAGTAGCTCCTCAATGCTTCCCACTGGCTCACTTGGTTTTAGGGTCAGGAGGTGAGGACCAATATTTATATTATTAAAAACATAATCTAATCAAAGAGTTCACTAGTTTCAGAATTAATGCTATTACAAGAAATTAATTATTCATACTGAAGGTCACTAACATACAAAAAAAAAATCTTGTTTTTACTACAGTAAATCTTGAACTGTAAACTTATGGAGATTAACAAGGTAACGTACAGGTAATATTGACACAGAAGTTAAAATAGTCTCTTTTTCAAACTAAGTATCTTAAATTTTCCAATATAGGAATCTAGCAATTGGAGTTTTCTTTTAATTTATAAAACCGTAAGTTCAGTGAAAAAAATTGACTAAATGGTTTAAAAAAATTGAGCAATCATTTGTGCACTTATATTAAATAGATATCTTTATATAGTTTAATTTATATTTATAATAAATTGGTCTAATGATTTTACATATATTTACATAAAATCAATTATTTGTAACATCATTAAATGTAAGATTATAATGGTTTAATATATTGTGAAAATAATGAATGTTAAGCAGTCTTGGTGGCACAATGATGAGAAGATTGTAGAACTTTTGATGAGTTGGATAGTCTAGATGAAGAATCCAACACTGTGTGACTGTTTATGGGAGGGGATTTTAGAGGTGGGGTCAGTCTGTATTCAGACAGTACGCAGTGAATCCACTTGGGCATTTTTGTTGAGTTAGTTTGTTCGAAGTGACCTCAATAATGAGTAATCAATGTAAGGTGATATTACTGCAAATAATTTTTTCATCAAGAGTTTAAATGTTAGTGAATTTACTTCACATATATTGTGAACTGATCGAGAGCAATTGTGTTTGTATAAACAACGCCTCCTATAAGGGTGGTAAATTAAAATAATTTATACATTGTTAAATATATTGTTATGGTTCATCAAAACTGCATAAAAATGAAAATTAATAGAATGAAAAGAAAAGAAAATACCTTTCAACATCACCAACAACAGTAAACTGGGATGTAGCTGATGAGGGGTCTGGCAGAGGTCCGTTGAAGCTGTTAGGGAAGTAGTTGGGAGTGCCATCTTGATTTTCATAGGCCATGGGTCCATCACGCTGGCTGTTGGAAAGCTTGGTTCTGTACGGGCAGTTGACAGGAAGTTGGTTGTAGTTGGCACCAAGCCTGTGCCTGTGGGTGTCGGTATAGGAGAACAGTCGACCCTGAACAGTACAGTTATTGTCATCATAAATATTTTTTTAACCTCCAATGGAAAATGGAAATACGTGTTTTAAGGTTCATTGGGATTTTTTTTTTATTTTACAAAATTAGGGTGTCTTTTTTAAAAAATAGCCATATCGTGTGATTTATATTTAATACAACCTTAACCCCACATCTGTTTTCCCTCCACAGGACATCTATTAAATATTCCAGGAGGGGAATAGCTATCTGCCGTCTCATTCTTTTCTTTTTCCAACTTGGGATTGTTAACAGCCATTGGGATTGTTTTTTGTTAATAAATACTAATAAGCTCTCATTCATCCTCAATCTCTTCAGAACACATGTGGCAAATCCTTTCATTACTGTACAATGTCTGTCCAAGCACAACAAACATGAAAATTTAGTAGGCCATAGGCTTACCAAATGTTCAGGAGTGGAACCTTTACTGCACACAATTTCTTACATTGCAATTTTTTACTTTCCTGAGGAATGTAAAAGAAAAATAAGCTTCTGTGATCGCTAAGCATTTAGGAACAATTCGGTACTACAATTCAATGCACTTTTAGTTAATCAAAACCAATAAATAAATTATACCATCTTTTTTTCCAGAAATATGTTTTCAAACTGAGAAAATATTTCTTTTTTTCCCCTTTAGTTAATTATTAAGTTCTTGTATATTCAGTAATTTTAGGACAACTAAAAATAAGAGTCGGTAATTAATTTCAAATAAACAATACGAAAGGCACTTTAAAATAAATCATTTTAAAAATATACTATTTAAGCCCTGTCAGCCTATTTCATAGAGGATAAGACCTGTCTGATATTAAAGATAATTTAATTGAGCATTGTTATTAGATCTTAATCAAAATTGTTCGAGTAATTTTGAGGATATTTTAAAAATATGAAAAACTGATATCAGGTGATGCTTCCAGTAAGTCAATTTTTGCAAAAAAAAATTGTCAGTAATATCCCATGTATAAATCAACCTTGAATACGTGATTTCAGTTTCGTACAACCTTTTTGATAAACTTTTGGTGAGATTTGAATATTTGGAGGACTCAAGGGACCTTAAAACATTTATTTCTGTTTTAAAATATTAAATAAATGTACCTGAAGCATTTTGTCAGGGCTTGGCTCGACACCAGGGATCATGTGGGCAGGGCTGAAGGCAATTTGTTCAACTTCAGCGAAGTAATTCTTAGGATTACGATCCAGCACCATTTTTCCAACAGGAATGAGAGGGAATTCTGCATGTGACCATACCTGTCGCATAAACAAAATTAAAAGTATTAACAGACATCACTTATTTAAAAACTTGATAAATTGATTAGAATGAATATTTAATAATAATAATAATTATATATTAACTATGTTAAATAATATCAATTTTACAGAATGAATCAATATAATGGATCACAATATTCTTGTTTGGTAAATAAGTAAATTAAATATATTTTTTTTATTTTCTTTGTTAATTGTTACATGTACTTTTGTTTTCAACTAAAAACCGTAATAACAACTCTATCATTAATTAATATACCAGGATTTAGAAATTTAAAAGAGAAATAAATAAATATCAACTGATTATTGCAGCAATGGATATAATAAAACAGAATGATATTTTAATAATTATACCTTCGTAATATCGAAGGGGTTGATTTTAGAGGTTTCGGCCTCCTTAGGAGTCATGACTTGCAGATACCAGGTCCAGGATGGGTATTGCTTATTCGCAATGGCGTTGTACAGGTCCCTGATACTGTAATCAGGGTCAGAACCTCCAAGTTCTGCTGCTCGGCTGGCAGACAAGTTTTTAATTCCTTGATTTGTCTAAGTACAATGAAAATAATAAATTATTATATCATTACAATTAAAAGTGAACTATATTCATAATTAATATCAATAGCTAAAAGGTCTAGAAACAGATGAGAAAAAAAGTGAAACTGTTATTTACCTTGTAATGAAACTTGCAATAGTGGACTTCACCCTTGGCATTTACAAGTTTAAAAGTATGTGAGCCATAACCGTTCATATGCCTATAGCCATCAGGAGTTCCTCTGTCAGAGAACAGGAAAAGAACCTGATGGGTGGTCTCGGGTCTCAAAGAAATGAAGTCCCAAAACATATCAGCATCCTAAAAAGCATAAAAATAGAACTTTGTAAATTAAGGGTAAAAAAAAAAAAAAATAAGATTGAGAACAACATTCATTATCATCAGTTAAAACAAATGTGACAACTATCAAAAACAAAATAATTTTAATATACATAGGTACAAAAGTGATTTCAATCAATGCTTTATTTCTTATTTGTAAAAGGATGCTGAATTTCACTATAATAAAGGCTTTATTGAGATTCTAATAATTTAATAATAAATTTAAAATAGCAGTTGAGTACAAATTAAAGTAAGAAACAGACAATGAGGTTACTGCCCAAAAATCAGTAAAAATCTATCTATTTTTAGTTATACTCAATAATCATAAAATAATAACTTTCTGTAATAATTAATGTTGAACAAAATTGATTAATTACTACAAACAATTTTTGGTCTTGAATTTCTAAATATTATTGAACAAACATAAACCTATGAAGAAATCATACCTTGAGGTGTGTTACAGGATTCCTCTTCTGGGTGTGGATGAAACTAGGAAACAGAATTGGATCCCTAATGAAGAAGATGGGGGTATTGTTACCAACCACATCCCAGATACCATCTTCAGCATAGAATTTAACAGCAAAACCTCGAGGGTCCCTAATAAAAAGATATATGATTTAAAATAAGTTTTTTATTCAATATATATTTGTACACTTCTTTCATATTAAAACTAGAAAAAAAAAAAGAAATATTTTCAACAGTTTGTTTGGATTAAATCTGATACAGTATTATCATAAAATTTTTTTTTTTTCCTATCTATTAAAAATAAGTTATGTTTTCTGTTTATTTGAACTTATTTGTTTTTATTAAAGAACCTACAACTAGAATAAAGTTTGTTTTATATATGTTTTTATTTAAAAAAAAAGAAGTAAGACAGTTCTTTAGGCAATTAGAAATAGAATTGAAAACATTGAGTTATTCTGTTTCCACCTAGATCATGGGTTATAAATGTAAAGGTAGCAAAAATTTGAAAATTAATAGATTTAAGTTGAATAAATGTATATGGGTGTGTATATTCAGTGACATATGAAAACAGCAGCAGTAAAATAGAAAGAATTATTACTATAATTATATAAAGAATTATAGCGGCCTCCATAAGTACTACCAAATTTGGATGTGGCCTCTTAAGATAAAAAGGTCCCCCATCTACATCCTAAACCCTTTAAATTATATCTCTTGATCATGAACCAATTAATTATTGAATGTAACTATATTAATAAAATATATATAAATTATAACATGCTGGATAATAAATAAATCATAAAAATCCTGTCTGAGATTGAAATATTTAATATCTCACCTTGCTGTATCAGCGGATCCACTTTCACCACCTACAGTAGAGAAACGAACACCAACTGGTGTTCTTTTACCAATTTGACTGAAGACAGAAAGTTTAGTGTACTTTGTCACATCATGGGTTACTTCAAAATATCCAAAAGCACCTGAATGAAAAAAAATCATGAATAGGCTTAATTTATAAAAGTATTTCCTTAAACTAAAGATTAAACATTGTGTAATGATTTTAGTATTGAATTGAAAAAAAAAATAGTACAAGGAAGTATTGATTAAAAAACTAAAATATGAAAAAGAAATTAAAATAGGCCATTTTCATATAAATTAGGCTGGGTTCTTTGAGTGATCGTAAAAAAAAAAAAAAATTATCGATCCTTGGTTGGAAGACATACCATTTAGTAAGAAATTAGTTTAGTGCTCTCTGGGTTCCATTTTTATTTTATTTTTTTGAAGAATGAGTAAAAGGAGTTCAACAGAGATATGTTATTGTTAGCGAATGTTTAGCATGGTTCCAGGCGTTACCACTGACAGGTAAACCTTCCAATGAAAACGTGGTTATTATTAATTTAAAGCTTCCATTACGTTACAGTTGTTTTATGAAGTTTTTCAAGCGATTCGTTCTCCATAATTTTTTTTTAAATGTGGTCGTCATGGACCTTATGTTCTCAAGTTTAAAACATTTGATCATCAAATTAAGTATGTAGTTCGTCTATGCAGAAACTACAAAAACCTTTGGTATATTTATTATTGGGTATATAACAGTTTTTACTTTTAGTACAAAAGATTAAAGCTGCCAATAATTGACTCTCAAATTTCTTTTCTATTGAAAAAGTTGTTTTCCTTTGAATTCAATGAAAACTAAGAACTCTTTTACTGAATATAAAAAAATGTTGATACATAAATTTTAAACAGTTTATTTCTGGCCAGGAAATCTGAGAGAAAATAGTTTATTCAAAGAAATATAAAGCAATAACGTTATGAAGTTTCTCAGCTAAATAAATACAGTTAAAATTCAAGAGATTTAAAATTTGACAAATTAACTAGATGCAAGTGATCTCAAGTATTGTTGTAACAAGCTATGTTGACTCAGATCACAAATACGAGATATTTCGTTCATGAAGTTCAGAAGTGCCACTTTTCATGAAAATGATCCAAATTCCCTAGGATAACTTTCAAGTTATTAACCATATATTATTTTATGTTAACCAAACTGAAAATAAATTTTCTAAATTGAACTATTTTTTTATTTAAAAAGCCAATTATTGGTATATATTAATGCAGTTATATTTGCAAAAAGAAATGTTTGTATTTATCAAAAAATAAAAAATAAATAAATAAAATAAACCCAGACCATAGATAAGTTTCCTGACCAAAATTTACATAAAATATCCATGGTATTTTACATAAAAGATTGTATTTTAAATTTTTCAGCCCTGATGATGACCCACATGTTTGGGTTGAAACGTAGGTACACATAAAAAATGTTTATAATGACTGCGTCCTTAATATTTATCACCCATGATAAAATATTCAGTATTAAAATTCATGTTGATACTGCTGAGTTTTTAGAACATACAAAGTTAAAAAAGGTTTCATTTTTTTATGTTCTTTTTTTGGTCCTAGAAACTATTTATTTATTTTAAATTCTATATTTTAGAATGTTTTGATTGACAATTTTTATAATTTAATACAAATAAATTTTTAAAAAATGAAATTTTTTTTTTTTCAGAAATATAAATCATTGAAATGAATATCATTCATTATAAATTTTATAGCATACTGAACTGCAATAAGTCATTATTAAATTATTTTAAATAAAATTCTTATTTTATTATAAAACAATGAAAATTCAATTCAATAAAATATATATGTCTAGAATCAATAACAATAAAACTGTAAAACCAATCAATACTCATGTAATATTGACTTTCAGGGACACTGCAAATTTAGACTCATTTTCTAACTGCCAAAACCAATACAAAAAATATATAATGATGTTATTAGATTGTATTACATACTTGTATATTGTATTATATAAAACAGTCAATTTTCTGAGATAAAAACGGGAAAAAAATATTTTGATGTATTTTAATTTAGCCAAGTAATCAAAATACTGTATTTTGTTTCAATATAACTATTTTAACTATAAGATTTTAAATAAATGATTCATGAAGGATTTGAATGTGAAAGGCAATAATTCTTGGAAGAAATTTTGTACCATATCGCCAGTATTAAACGTATGGGTCTTATGAAATGGTCTAAGGTAGAAGTCTCCAAACTTTTTGGCTCATGGGCCACATTGTGACTTTCACTACGTCCCACAGATCACATTGAGACCACCACTAAGTCTCACGGGCCATGGTTTATGATGGGAAAAAAAAGTGCTCTATAAACGACACTTCAGATATGAAATAAGCTTTCTAATAGAAAGAATGACTGCAATAAATGTTGTAGTAAACTTGTGTTTGAGTGATTTACGAAATTTCATATTTTTTTAAATTTTATCATGTTATCAAAGAAAGATGGATTGGAGGATCGCGGGACAGATTGGAGGTGCTTGTACGATACGGCATGAGGGCTGTAGTTTGGAGACTTTTGGTCTAATATAAAGGTGGGTAATGTGTGGCTTCTATGAACCACAGTGTAGTCTTAATGAAAACTTATTGTAGTAACAATTAATGTTTAACTACAATTATGGCAATTCAAAAATTAATAGAATATTCAACTAAATAAAATACAAACAGTGAAATATAAAATAATTAGTGGCTTTCTATGTTATAGTCTAATTTAAATGTGGCCTCCAATGACAGAAAAGTACCCTCTGTCAGGTTTATATTTTAAAAACAGGTAATCAGTCATTAATTGGTTACTGTTTATGGAAAAACCACAACTTTTAAAGCTAAGAGGTTTTGCATGGTCTCTCTATAGATTATCATTTATCAAGTAGAAGTATTTTATTTAGAAAATACTATTATTGTTTTAGAACTAATTTACGTTTGAATTATTATTTTTAATATGAATACTTTACAAGCAAAAAAACTTTAAAATGTTTCCCTCAAATTTTCAATAATTAATTTCAGTGTTTAAATCTACAGAGGTTACTTTTATTAAATTTTGACAGTTGTTTAATAGCAAAAGACATGCAATATTAAATTTCGGTTTCAGAAAAAAACTTGAACCATTAAACACAGTTTATTTTTTTTTTAAACAGCAAGGATTGGATCTAAAAATTGTATAAAGTTATTTTTTAACTTATGCCTTAATAGTTTTAAATACTTACAGCCAATAAAAAATAAAACTCAGTAACTGAATTTTAAACTCACATTGGTAATATTCTAAGTGAACAGTGTATAGCATTTAAACATGCAAATAATTTAGTCCTACCTGCTCCTTTTGCATGAACAACTCTTTCTGGAATTCTTTCACGATCAAAATGTGCAAGTTCATCAATAAGTGTAAAATCTTGTATCAGAATTGGTCCCCTTTTTCCAACCGTAAGACTAGCACTTTTACTACAAACTGGGTTTCCAGAACCAGTAGTTAAAGTGTCTAATGTCTGAAAATGAATAACAATGCATGTTTTTAATAAAAAAAAACCAGATAAGAATGAAGAAATTAAAAAAAAATCTACTAATTCTGCCCTTAGCATTAATGACCTTGGCAATCGGTCTTATTCAGAATAGATTCCAGTGTTTATGCAAATAAAGGTCACGACTGGGAAAATTTGAAAGCAAATGTCATCAGTTTCTACCAAAGTTCTTTTATTATTAGAACAATTAGATAAATACAAACAATTTTATAAATATTTGATAAGAAATGTCACAAATTTTATCATAGAAAAAAGAAGGTTGTCTTCTTTAGCATCTTAATAATTTGCAATTGCTAATTGCAAAGTCAAAAAAATATTTTAGATTTCGATTGCCCTATTTTTCTAACATGGTCACGGAATGCTCCAGGGATAAACTGGTTCTAATTAAACATAAATGTTTTGGAGAGGGTTTAACTTTCAAAACAGATAAGAGGTTTAATGTATGAACATTAGTTCAAAGTCTTATAAAATAATTTTTAAACATTGAACATTGCCATAATGACAAAGCAATATTCATGATAAGGAACTGTTTTTAAAATATTGAATTATAAGACAAATAACCAATGATATAAATGCTCTTATTTTTTTAAACCAAAACAATGTAAAGGGACTCTGATGTTTATACAAAAAAAAAAAAAAAAAAAATGTCATTACATTTAAGAGAGAAAGAGAAAATTTCTTCAAAGTAAATATTATCCCAAAACTACATGAACTACACCAGTGTAGTAAACAGAGGGAAAATAGGTTGATAACATATTAACAAAGAAGTCGATAACAATGTTTCTTAGGGTTACAGAGAGATTATCGTTATCAGTAGAAACATTAAGGTGAATTTAAAAATTATAATAAGACGATAAAACAACATAAATAAACAGAGACAAAGTCACTCCTAACTATTTATGTACGTGAGCAAGGCTAAAAAGTTTACAATAAATGAATTTACCTTTTGCTTGGACTTGAACTCATTCAACTGTTCTGCTGAAGTTTCACGGGGCATGTTGAACGATTGTTTTAAATTAACCTACACACGCGAGTTCTCGGAGTGGAATAAAGCGGCCGCCGAACCCCATCTGTTACGAAACCAACGCAGGAGTGGGGAGAGCGGTGGGATCGTTTGTTTTCTATATTCCGACTATCATTGTTTTGGAGGCTTTTAAACTCATTGCATAAGCCAGTTGAATTTTCTACAGGAAAAGGTAGATGTAGTTAAAAATCCAATAAAATTAACTTATTATATTTGTATTAATTTTCACGATTTATTGCAGGCGCCACACACTTGGACGAGTATAGCAAAACTTTCACTAAAATTAAAAAAATCTATGACTTTAAAAAGTGTACAATCATGTTCTTTTGGCCTCAGTTTTCATACGATTTCAAAGAGTTTTAATGGTAAAATTTTAATAAATATGTTCAAAAGTTGGACGCTTCAATTTATATGGCGCTTAACTTTAATGTTTTAAAAAGCTTTTGCTACTCAATTAAAATGCTATTTATCTTAACTTTTAAATGTTTTATTGATTTGAATTTAAATATTTCAAGCATCAGAACGCATTTAGAAGAAGAAGCGTTCTAAAATAAGTTACTATCAATAACAAACTAAACAGGAAGTTGAAATGTCGGAAGCTAAGGACCGAAACTTCCAGACATCTCAATGTTTTCTAAGCGTCCTGGAACCTAATGGTACTTAGAGACTTCTCTTGCTGAGGAGGGTAAGACATTTCTTACCTCTAGTCCATCTAAAGTATGCCGATTCATTAAAAGTTTTGCACCGCAAACAAATGTCAAAATTGTACGAAATGGAAATTTGCCAATAGAAGTCTTTAATGAAAAGGACTTTTTGAATTTAAAAAATATTAAATCATAAGATAATTCTGCAGTAAATTTTACTATCCACTCATTCCTTAATTTCAGTAAAGGCGTTATATTATGCCCTGAGTTTAATAGCTGCTCGGAAGATGAACTTAAGGAAGATCTACATAACGAAGGAGTGGTAGAAGTTTAAAGGATATTAAGAAAGTATGGTGAAATGAAGATACCGACGACATCACTTATATTAACTTTTGAGACACCCGAATTGCCTGCTTATCTCAATCAAGTTTTCTTGAATATAAAAGTAAGTATATTCCAAATCCATTGCAATACTTCAACTAAGTGTCAGCATAAAATTTGTGGTAAATTTGGTCTTTCACAGCACGATAACAAATGTAGTACGCCACTAGCGGATCCAGGATTTATTTTGGGAGGGGGGCTTCAGCCAGAAATTTTTTTTTTCATAAAAATAACGATAATTACTTTGGAAAAAAAGAAAGAAACTAACAACCTATATGAAATTGTGTTTAAATGATTCCTAAAGCCCTTTTAAATGTAAGTACACGAACAATAACACTTTGAGGGATAATTTTTTAATATTTTTTTCGATAAAACATGGTTATATTTTCCCATTTTGGGGAGAGGGGCTTCAGCCCGAAAGCCCCCTCCCCCCGTAGATCCGCCCGTGTAGTACACCGATTAAATGTATAATCTGTTCCGATGCACAATCTTCATGGTCTTGAAGCTCTACTATATTCTTTAAAGAAAAAGAAATTCAGAAAGTAAGGGTGACCGATAGAGTACCCTATTTTGTGGCCAAAAGAACTGTTGATGATAAAACTCCTATTGTTGCTGCTTTGGAGACCTTTTCTAAAGTTGTATCTTCGCCGCCCATACGCACTGAAACGGACCAACAAATAGAGAAAGTATGGTATAAATGGCGGTTCTGGCATATGATTTATACCTATTTATACCCTACTAGAGATATTATCGTCAATTATCGAATGTTTAGTTGAGAAGATCAAAGTTTTGGAGGAGAAACTAAGCCATAGAGAAAAGACTCCAATTAATCTATATACTCAATCGCCAAGTCGTTCTAACCCGCATGTTCTCCTTATAAACGAATAAAAAAATAATATCAGTGATCATGGAATTAGAACCCATTGCTAAAAGAAACTTACTGATAAGTACAGATTTGCAAAACCAACTCCTGCTACTGATAACATAAAGTATATTCTTTTTTTTTTTCTCCCTGCCTTGCCATACAGACAATACGGGTTGTAGTAGCAGTGGGATATTACGCAGTATGCCACTGCTGGCAGTATAGGTCTATTTAATTAAAATTTTGTTTAACATTATTATTTATGAGCTGTAGATTTGTTTGTGTGCACAAGCCCACGCTTTTCCTTTTATCCATTCTTCCACCTGAAGCCGGTCCTCAAAGCAGCTGCAGCTTGTCTTACTTCCTTCTCTTCTTTCCAAATTAAAATGTGTAGGGCCTACAGCATCTTTCCACCCGTATACGAATTCTCTATAATGCGGGTAATTGGTGGGAAGCTGAGGTCGAATAAAAGAATAAGAAGTAACCAGGAACATAGAACATTGAACGACACATTGCTATGCGTAAACAAACTTATTGAATCACCGGACAAAAACCACCTACTTTCCTGCATCCAATTACATATCCTGTTCGAAACTATCACAGTTACAAAAGACCGAGTATCAGCAGCTCTAGAAATAACCAGTGATCCTGATTCCATCGTTACAGTGTGTTCCGAATTATACTTAGCTCTCCCTACAAAAAGTATAAAAAGCAGATTCAAAAAAATTATAGAAGGTCTTCAAAATCATATTGCAAACACTTCTGTTAGCGATAAAACCCACATATAAACTCTCTAAACACCCCATCAATAGGTTACATTTCATCACATTAAAACATATGATAATCTTAAAGTGGAACTGTTAAGCAGACCCTACACGGTAATTCATGAATGAACGTCACAAGAAGTTCCAAGATTGCCCGCTTTCGCTTTGATCACGAAGACCCTTACACGTTCAATCATTGCTGATCATTACTTATCGTTGCTGATTTAGGTTAGATCGTTGCTGACCAATTTAGCGCAGTTGTAAACAAAGAAACAGCATATTTGGACATTGTCATTTATAATATTGGGCATCAAGAGAAAAACGGAGATATAATAATTACTTCCTAGTGCCTGAAAATCGTCTAGACCAAAGTTAGTCCAAAATATAAGTCAGCTACATACAAAAATCTATGAAAAATATTGCGAAAATAATAAATTTGTTAAGAAAAATGGATAAATTAATGAAAAATAAACACAACAGTTGAAGATTTTTTTTCTATAAGTAAATTGTGAAGTTTCCACTTTTTTTTCTCTCCAATTTATTGCCTACTTGACTATTTAAAGAAAAAATAGTTGAAAATGGTTAATAATAATATAGACTAGGGATATAAACAACTATTTACTTAATAACGAGACCTAGGTAAACTAACCTATCTAGTAGTGGTCTCATAGAAAATCGTTTTGACAAAAGTTAGTAAAATATAAGTCTAATACTTACAAAAATTAAGGAAAAGTATTGCGAAAATAATAAATTTGTTGAGCAAAATGGGAAAAGAACTGATAAATATACACAACGATAACGTTTTTTTTTTCCTAAAGTAAATTATGAAGTTTCCTCATTTTTTATTTTTTATTTGTTGCCCACTTGACTATTTAAAAGAAATAGTTGAAGATGGTTTAAAATTATAAACAAGGGATATGAGAAATTATTTAACTATTTACATATAATGAAAACCAGAAATTTATAATGGTTGTGAGGCCTAGGTAACCTAACCTATCCAGTAGTATGGTTAGTCTCCCCACTACTTTTACCTCAGTCCCCCCTCCACTTCTCGTGAATGAACCTTTGATTTCCGGATGTTCGGAAGTCCGCAGCGCACCACCATCAGTACTTCATTCACTACCTTACACGACAATTCGGAACGTCATTAGTGCAATTCCGATTGACCGTGTAGGGTCCCCTTTATGGTTTATACAATCACTATAATGATTTACAGCTATTAATTTCTAATTATGATCCCTCAATTTTACCACTTCAAGAGACCCATTTAAAAGCCAACCAAGGAATTTTAAAATTTTCATATAACTCTATTCATAAGACTGTCTGTCGCACTAATCATGCTAGCGGGAGAGACTCTCTAGTCATCAAGGATGGTATCAGTTATACTGATTATAATTTAACCACCAAATTAGAAGCAGTACCCACCATCGTCCATCTTCAAATTCAATTTCCAATCTGTTCTGTTTATCTACATCCTTCAGAAAATATTAACAATAATAATAATCGGCGTTACTGTCCTTGAAGGGCATAGGCCTCATCACATATTGCAAGCCAGGCTGGTCTATTGGCAGCAACTGCTCTCCATCCTCTAACTCAAAGTTGGCTCAGGTCTGCCTCAACATCGTCCAGCCATCTCATTCTGGGACGTCCATGCTTTCGGGTACCCTCCGGCTTTTCAAAAAGAAGCTTCCTTGGAAGACGATCGATCCTCCTTTCTTATGCTCCACATGCCCGAGCCACCTCAGCCTTCCCTTTTAATTATACTTACTATGTCTGGCTGATCATAAAATGCTCTTAAATCTTCGTTTTTTCTAATTGAACACTCTCCAACAGAGTAGACTGGTCCATATATTTTTCTTAGTATATTTCTTTCCCAGGTGAATAGTCCTTTCTCCGTCTTCTTTCTCAGGACCCATGTCTCACTGCTATAGGTGACTGTTGGGCGAATAATTGTCTTGTAAACGATGACCTTGGTGCTACAAGAAAGATCTTTGAACTTCAAAACCTTATGTGATGCAAAAAAGCAACGATTAATCACATCGCTTTATTTACACCTAAAACATATAATTTTTTCTTCCACATTTTGTTCATTACGTCTCTCCTGTCAAAAATCTGGCATTTTTGTCTGTTAAAAGTTTCCTCTGGGGCCCGCGTCAAAAATTTTGTTTTTTACATTTCTAAACTCATATATACTAGTTAAATAAAAACTTTTCCCATATTTTTCGCAATATGTTTTCCGTTTCGGTCCTCAAGTTAGTGGCCTTATATTCTCTAAATGAGCCGCTATTTTTACAAGTATCAAGATCCGACTAGCATAGTCTCATTTTTTAAAAATATAAATTTTCGAAAAAATGCTTGTGTTGTTTTGCACGGGCTCTCGGACTATTACCATTTGATTCAATAAGAGAAATTATGAAGAGTATGAACAACATAAGAATTTATTACGAGGGATTATCGAAATGACAAACCCATCATCAGAATAACAAAATAATATTGTTTTTCTGGAATAGAATTTAGGAAAATAATTTAATAAAACATAATGAACAATTTAATAAAATGATGTAGAGATGGTTGACCATGATATAATATGAGAAGGAGTTGGTCGGGGGGTGCAGTCAAATAAATACTAAATTTTAAAAAATAGTATTTTTAATCATTTAGACTAAGTCTATGAATTGCCTCCTGCAATGCCATATGCCACGCCCTGATGAAGACTTGTAAGGTGGGTCGAAACGTCGGCGTAATAATTAAATTTTTTTTTTTTAAATTCCAGCATTCCAAATTCCAGCAGCAAACAGTCAGCATTCCAAACCAACCCCTATCTTCCTTTCTTACACTGTCCTCTGGAGTGGCCCAGGGTTCGAGCATTTCCCCTCTCCTTTTCAATTCCTACATAAATGATCTTTCCAAATCCATCTACCACTGTTCACATCATTTATACGCTGATGACACCCAAATATATTTTTCCTTTCATCCTTCTGAGCTACTAGTCGCGTCCGCCAATATTCAGGCTGACCTGGGAGAGATAGGATCAGTGCCTGGGCAAGTCTGAATAATTTAAATCTAAATGCGATGAAAACTCAGGCCATTATTATAGGTTCCAGTCCTATTCTTAAATCCATCTCCTTCCTTCCTCCTTTAGTCATCAACGATCATCCTGTCACATTCAGTTCATCCGTTAAAAACCTAGGAATCACCATAGACGAAAACCTCTCCTGGAAACCCCATATTGCCCTCATCTCCCGTAAGTCAATAGGTACCCTTAAGCTATTTCATCGCTCCCGCCACCTACTCCCACATCCCATCCGCAAGCTCCTTGTATCCTCTCTCATTTTCCCCCACTTTGACTACGGCTGTGTGGTGTACGGAGGCATCCCGATGCTACTCGAGAATAGATTGAAGCGACTCATGGATACGTGCTTAAGATTTGTCTTCGGTACATCAAAGCGATCTCATGTGTCCCACCTCTACGACGAGTTAAAGTGGCTCTTCCCTTCTTTCCGCAGACAATATTTCCTCGGATCTTTCCTATTCCAAACAATCAACACCAGACACCCTTCTTACATCTACAGTCTCCTACAGTTTAAACCCGTGGTCCACTCCCAGAAAACAAGATCCCGTGTTTCCGACCTTTATATCCCTTCCCATAGAACTAAGACGTTTGAATATTCCTTTATTTCCCGATCCACAGCCTTCTGGAATTCCTTGCCATCTGAAATCCGTCATGCCTCTTCCTTGTCCTCATTTAAATATCATCTTTACCAATTCCTTCTCACATCCCAAAATGACGTTATACAATAAAATAAATATTGTGAAACAGATTTTGACTGAGATGAATGGTTGATAAAATTTATTGAGTCTTAATTTTAAAAATCAACCCATGCTTATTTTATTTTATTATTATTTTCATTTAAATAATGTTGTTTTTGTTATTTCGTTTTTTCTCAAAATTTTATTTTATTTTTACTTGTTTTAATTTAATTTCACTGAAGATACTGTATATATTCTTTAATATTGATTAATGTAATTTTTGCCAGATGTAGTTTTAATTTGCTTGTTCATATCTGTTATTCATAAGAGACCTGGTCCCAGAATAAAGTTTACTTTCTATCTATCTATCTAGTATTTATTCGATCGCACCTCCCGACCAACTACTTCTCAATCCAATAAAATAATAAATAAGACTTATAGTAAATAATAATCCTTAAAAGAGAAGATAATCTCTAGCTACTTTCTGGATTTTCTTTATTTATATTTAACAAGAAAAAACAATTTACAAGTCTACTTTAAGGTGTGTTTAGACATTTTAAAAACTAAGTGAAAGACAATTATGTAACATAACTAACAACGAAATTAACGCTAAACTTTTTTTTTGTTTTTCTCGGTACCGACAATCGTTGAAAAGCATTAAAAGCAATAAACAAAAATACTAGAATAGGGATACAAACATTTAGATATTTGTTTTTTTCCCATAGTTTATGAAATGTCTAAATGCATCTTTACATTATACTTTCCTTAAATAATACGCAAAGGTTTTCAAAAACAATCCATTTACCAAAATAATTGAATTGATAGAAAATAATGATAAAATAAAAAATAAAAATAATGATATGAAATTTGAAGATTTGTTTTTGGCTAAAATAATGACTTCTTGCGTTAAAAAAAGTCGTCAAAATAGAAAGGTGCGATAAGATATCCTTTTATTTGTATAAGAGAAAAATATTTTGAGAAACTATAATTCGTAATTAATTAAATTCATTAAATTTAATGTAAATAATAAATTTATTTATTTTAAGAAGATAATTGTAATTTAATATGTGTTAGTTTAAAAAAAAAAAATTAAAAAAATGAGTTTTACATTATTCATTTTTATTACAAACGCACAGTGGATATATTAATGATAAAACCTGAATGAAATATGATTCATTTAAGCCCAAGTATTGACAATTTATTAAAACGAGTTTATTTTTATTCACCTGAACAAACAGGAATTTAATATTTTTCGCAGTGAAGACTTGTTTGTGTTTGGATTTATTGATAATCCTGCACTTGATCTTTATTTTTTTAATTTATCTGTTTTTATTTAAGCCATTGATGTCAGTGACCTCTTTTCAGTTAGACAAGGGTTCTTTTAAAATTTAACTTGTAAAATATATTGTTTTACAAATTACACATTTCAGTTGTGAAATAAGCTTTCTGATTGAAACTACTATTGCAATAAATGTTGTAGTGACT